GGAATTTACACGAAAAGACAATATGACTGCGCACGTTAAGATAATACATAAAATCGATAATCCTTCAACGGCACTAGCCAATGCAAGTGCTGGAACCTTACCCACTGTGTCGAGCACGGCAACTCCTACACCACCGGATTTAACAGCACAAACATCAAATCAGTCAGCTGTTAGTGCATCGACTTCTACACCTGCATCAGTAACGCCAACACCAACGTCTGGAGGTATGACTGCCACTCCCGCTGCCGTCGCGCAGTGAGCTAATAAGCAAGTCATAGCGCTAAGTTAATATTCTTACGTTATCTTAAGTGTTTACTGCTTATTGAGGTGTGAAACAGTTTGACAGTTGTTGCGGTGGTCAATTCACCACAGCTAAACTTTTTGCTGTTTTAAAGGCTTCCAATTATTCCAAAACTATTAAAATAACATATTGTTTACTTATATTATAAAAAAACAATCTCTACACTTATATGGAAAAGTGGTCGGTAATTTAATATGTATTACGTTTTAAACGTATATTAATATTATTTAGAAAGTAACATTTTTAAGTAAAACTTCGCACTAAAATTAAATGTCATTACTTCCGCGTTACGTTCTACTTTTTCATGCGTGCAATCAACTTTTCTTTTTGTCCACAACTAAAAATTTTGGAACTTTTCTGTTGGCAATTCACCAAAGTTGCCTAGTTTACTATAAGACATGTACTCTGTTAAACATTATTAGCCTAACATTTAGTTAATTTAAATATATTAATGATTAAAAAAAAAACTACCTTATTGCCTTCAAATGAAGCTAGTGTAACAAATAACTTTAATTAGAAAAATTTTTTAAATTTTTCTTCATAAAAAAGATTTAATTAAAATTTAACAATAAAGAATAAAAAATTTATTTTTTATAAATCGGAGGCTTAAATTATCGCCAAAGAAAACTAAAAAAAAAAACAAAAAATTTTAACAAACAAAACAAATATTACAAAATAACTACAGCAATAGAAAAATACCAGATAATGAATAACTAAAATTGAATGCTGTAAATTATTATAATTAATAATTATGTTATATTAAATTATTAAAATATTAAGTGAAACAAAATGTTAAAAATGACAATAGCATTTTTTGTAATGTACTGTACATATTGTGTGAGAAATTTAATAAGTTAAAATACATAAAAGTGCACTTTTATATACAGTTTATACATATGTACGAATGTACGAAAGAAATATTTTTTACGCTTAAAGCGTTTAATCTATTCTTTACAAATCGAGGCCTTATTTATATATTTTCTTAATATGAATTTAAATTACGGAAAGAAAAACATATATGTATATGTAGTTTTAGCCTTGTTTTTCAACACGATCTCCAAAATGTAAAGTCAAATTTGTAATAGAAGAAAAAACTAAATAAAAATCTTCACTCACACAATAATAATTAATTTATTATTATTATTTTTTTTTGTTTTGTTTTTGCATACAAATGAAATACAGACTTTGTCATTGTTTATAAAAATTGTTTATTATTATTAATATTATATTTAAATTAATATTTTTGTAGTGGTAGCTAGTGCAATTTAGTATATAGTTGATTTAATTTATAAACATTTGCTCTTGTACACATTCTATATATATCTAAATACGTTTATATGAATATCTCTACATATATTTTTTACTTTGCTTTCTTTACAAAAGAAAAAGTATAAGCAGGAAGAATTAATTATTTTAAAATTAAATTTTTAAAAAAAACTGATATGTTCACCCATTCAGTTTTTACTAATATGTAACACTTGTATAAATATTTTTACGCAATTAAAAATAGTTTTTGGTTTAAATTTTTATTAAAAAAAAATGTTTGAAATATTAATTGTTATTTAATTGTGGCTATTAAATAAAGTACTAATTTTTTGTGTAATTTTTGTTATATATTATTTTGTAATTGTTATATTAATTATTTGCATACAATTATTATATTAATTAAATGTATTTGTAATTATTATAATACTCATATAATTAAATATATTTTTATATATGATTGTCATAGTAATTATTATTTAATAATAACACATATAATTATTATTTTAATACTATAATCATATGTAATTTTTATATTAGTTATATGTGTATAACTGTTATATTAATTATATATATATATAATTATTATATAAATTATTATTAAAATTGTATTGGCTATAATATATATGCAACATTTTCTGTTATATAAATAATTAAAAATATATGTTATAAAAAATAAAGTTCAAGTAAAAACAGCTTAAATTGCAAATATATCGGTAGCTTAAAGTTGTTGTGACAAAAAAGTTTGTAGAACAAAAACATTTTTAAATATTTAAAGAAAATTAAAATATGTCCAAAAAAAGAAATGTTATAAGATATATGGATTGTAATGTTAAGAAAAATAAATTGAGTCATAATTAAATAAAAAAATTACTGTATATATGTATATATATATCTATAAATATGTATATGCGTATATTTTTCAACATAAATATCCAAAAACTGTATTTAACATTTCTTATTTAATGTTCATTACATTTAATTTATTAATTTTGCTTCCAAGTTTAGTAGTATATATATTTCAAATATTTTCTGTAAATAAATATAGAAAATATTATATATAACTATTTCTGTTAATAATATAATATATATTTTGCCACAATTTTTACTTGAACTTATTTTATTTATCATTTTCAAACTTTATAACATAATTAATGAGTGCTAAATATTATTTAAAAAGCTTTTGTTTGGAATTATCTTTTTAATTTTAATTTACATATTTATATATATGTAATTTATATGTATGTAATTTATATATTTATATAATTTACATACATATTTAATTTCATACATATTTTTAAAAATATTTTCTTTAAATTCTTTATATCTATTTATTTTCATATATATATTTTTTTTTTCTATTTATATTATATATATTTTTTATATATTTATTTTTTATATTCATTCTTTTTATATTTTTTTCATATATACTCTATTTTTATGTTTTATATTGTTTTATTTTATAATTTTTTATTATTTTATTTTTATGGTTTTTATATTATTTTATTCATTCGAGATTTATTTTTCTTTTTCTCTGAAATATGCAAAAAAAATTTATAAAACCAAAAACAAATTTTTAAAGCGTAAAAATATGAATCAAAATATTATATCAAAATAAAATGTTTCTCTATAAATTATTATATTTATTGTTTGAAACTTTCATATATAGTTGTTTGTTTTTATAATTATAAATAATATTATGTATAAAATTGATGCAATTATTTTACACATAGCAGCAAGAAAACTACATTATACATTAAAAAGAATTTTTGAGTTAGTTTTAAAATCGTGTTTAATGGGATAAAAATTAAAATATTGGTTCATAAAGTTCTAATGCAATATTTTTGATTATATATATATATTAATAATTATTAATATTAATGTAATTTAAAAAATAAAAAAATAATGTAATACACACACCATATATATAAAAACTAAAAGAATGCATTTTTTTAATTCTATTATTATAAAATTCTTCAAACTGATATGGACTATAGGTCTTGTTGGAGACCATGACATCTATAAAATTATTTAAAGCACACAGAAATGTAGCTTTAACTATTATTAAACATAATCGCGTGGGGGGCTGAAGTCCTCTGAAACTAATCGAAGGACTGTATTTATACAAATGTATATTATCTTATGTATATATGTATATAAGATAAAGAATGTTTAAAATACTATAATTATATAAACATACCGAAGTAAATTTATGGCTACGGTGATGTTTTAAAATTATTTGTAAATATAATTTTTCATTGGTAAATAAAAATATAAAAAACAATAGCATAAATTAAGTTTAGATCTTAATAAACGGGAAGCATATATAATTTAAGCATACTTTACAACAATTCTCTAGTTCCGACGGTTTCATTATGACTTTTTTTAGACAATGATGTCAACTCGTTTTTAATGATCTCTCACTTTATCAAATTAAGGGATCAGAAACGCTAGATCGTACTTTGGTGTATTCACCAATTGGATTTTTTGTCGTGCTACATGAACAACCCATTTTATTTCATTTTAATTCCCCAGCACTTCCCTAGTTAGTATTTTAGGCGCATATTTTGTAACAAATATGCACTCATTTTTCCACATTTTTGGGCTATACCCTACTTAAGAGTCTATTTAGTCTCAAAAAGTTTACTTCCAAATTAACGCTATACTACACAATTTTTTTTGTGTAGTATATACCTTGCACAAAAGTTTTTGTACCTCTAAATTATGGATAGGGAATCATAGCTAATATTGAATTTTACAAAACTAGCCTATCCAATTTAACAATTTATATATACGTTAATATCAACGTTATATCTTCTACAATAAAATAAATTAAACATTTAGATTAAACTAGCGTGGACACTTTTCGTAAAATTAATCTTGAGTCGAATTTCTTATGGAAGGTCTCAAATTTGGAAATACTATATAACCTTACTAAAGTTGGTTGTATCATATTAATCCCGCTTCAATCAGCCTAACGTAGCTCCGTCCCTCTTGAAATAGAATTTTAATACTTGACCAAAGCTTCTGAACCTGGCTCGGTAAACTATAAAGAATTATAAAAGAAGGCAGTACTACAGTATAAAAAGTTTTACAAGTATATTATAGAAATGTTCAAATATAGTTTAGTTGCAGGATTTTTTATCTCTTTATTATAGGAAAATAATTTTTTCGTTGTCCCTCTCTTCTGGTATAATTAATTATTACCGAATTATTATGATGAGATGATGCTTTCGGTTTTCGATAGGGCTTGTACCAATTAAATGATTTTGAATAACTTATACTAAATTAAAATACAATGTCTTATTTCTATATATGTAATGCTTTCATATATATATTTTTTTTCATTTCAGTCCAATTGGTTAACAATTCTCCCGAGTTGTCACAAATACTGTTCGGCTTATCAAAAGGACATGCAACTGGTCAAAAAATAACTATGACTCCAGTAACAACACAACATAATCAGTCACAACAACAAAACCCGATAATTGATATAACTGACACAGCTCCACAATTGCCCACAGCCCTAGGACTAAGAATACGTAATACGCATAAGCAAAGTTCACAAATCACAATAAACACAAATTCGCTACTTAAACAACAACTACGCGCTGGACCTAAAGATGTAGATACAACAACAATGGGAAATAATAACAAACTAGGTGGAAACGGTTTAGAAAATATGAGCAACAATGACGCATGCTCAGCCCTGCAATCCTTAGCCAGCGTAGCTGAAAGACAAGCACCCAATACAATACAACCACCAACAGCTAATAATCTGCACCAACAATTCTTGTTGCATTTAGCAACGAATCCAATGATGAAATCAAGTAATGATTTTTTCCAACAACAACAACAATTGACCCAACAACAGCAGCTAGAAGACGAACTTGTGGTGAATAATTTGGATTTGACTTTGGAGTCAAACGATAAGTCTGAACCAGAACTGATACTTGCAGATGAAAATGCAGGCCTGGATTATAAGCTACATGAAAATGGTGCTAACGACAGCAATCTCCTGAGTATAAATGAAAGCACATTAGAGAAGCAGACCACGAATACACCAACAAGACCGATACAAAGAAGGCGCATACGCCGTAAGGCACAATCTAGCTTAGATGATCAAGCAGAACACTTGACTGAGATGTCGGTGCGTGGCTTAGATCTATTTCGTTATGCCAGCATCAGTGAAGGTGTTTATCAGTGTACAGAATGCGCTAAGGAAAATGTGCAGAAGACTTTCAAAAATAAATATAGTTTTCAACGGCATGCTTTCCTCTATCATGAAGGGAAACATCGTAAAGTTTTTCCTTGCCCGCTATGTGGTAAGGAATTCTCACGACCAGATAAAATGAAGAATCATATGAAGATGACACATGAGAGTTATACAACAAAGGATAACAGTAATTTTAATCCACTCAATTATTTGATAACAGCCGCTGCTAATGAAACTCATCCAACAGTTTATCCGCCACAAACAGTTGGACAGCAACAACAAGCACACATCTTAAATGAAGCTACGACAGATGAATATATGGGCATTAATTTGACACAACAAAACTCACCATTGTCACCTAAACCTGGAGTGGCTTTACTGAAATTACAAAATGATATTATAATAAAGAATGAGATTGTTATTTCACCTTCACCGTCTCCACCACCTAAAGCTGAAATGGAAACCACACAAAGGCTAGAAGAAGTCAAGTAAAAATAGAGAAAAGTCGAAAATATGGCACTGCTCTAGAATTTTGAATGCACAATTTACTTAATTTTTTAACACAAATAATGCACAACGAGATTAAATTACGTGAATTATGTTTAGATATACAATAAGAGTATTTAAATACTAGTGTAGGACTTATATTTTATATTATAATAACTAGCTAACCTTTATAATTAAGTCCAAGTACTTTAAGCTTAATCCGTCCAATTTCCTTTTTAGTTATTATTATAGAATTTTAATTTTTATTTAATCTTTAATCCTAAGCCAGTCCAGTATTTAAAAAAAAAAAAAAAATTCTACCAAACCTTATAGCATTTAAAATTATATAAAAATTTAACAAGTAATTATAAAACATTAGTGTACTCTTACAGAACTATATAGATAATTCCACTGCATTATTACGGAACCATAGATTAGTAGGACTCAAATGATTGTGTAAATATGGGCATAAAAATATATAGGCTACATCATGATCAGAAGAACAGCAGTTAGGGCACACATTGGATATAAAAATATGAGACAAGAAAGTGTCACACGTTTATAAATTTTGAACTCAATGGAGCTGAGACAGCTCTCAATGTAAGACCTCTTGCATCTCTAGAAATGATGCTTGTTTATATATTTGTTTCAATGCAAACGTGAAATCAAAGTAAACACTGCTTCGATTATGAACTTAATTTAAAGAGTATATTTAATAACCAATATTTTACATATTCTCTATGATAAGCATAATAAATATCTTTAATGGAAGAAGTACTCGAAAAAAATATAATAAAAATATTTACTTGGATCAAGTTTTCGAAAACTTAAAGTATATACCTTCGACTCCATACACTGCCATTTCTATTGTTATTGTTCAAATTTTGAATAATAACTGAAAGTTCTAATTGAAAAACTTAATTTAAATTCTCAAAGTCCCTTTTTTAAAAAATTAAGGTTCTAATTTTTTTTACACAAAGATATTCTAAGGCTTCAAACAATATATGTAATATAAAAACTGATTCTGTAAAGTCCATAAAAATAAGTAATTAGTTATTACATCTTGCAAAGTGAGTGAATATTGAAAACTATCAAAGAAATTACTTCTAACAGAACTTTGTTTTCCATAAAATTACCGATTTCCTATCGGCAGTTATCCTTTAAAACCCTCAATATATTTCACTGTTGTCCCGGACATCTCTCAATGAAGAGTGTTAGAGTGCTAATGCTATGGGATATTTCAGTATTAAATATTGTTTCATATATAGAGACTAACATAACCCCTGTAACAATTTAAAAAGTAATATACAGAGCTTTTTCAACTTCGAAGATCGAACTTAGAATCGATAAGCCCATAAATCTCGGTCAGTGCTGCAAATACATATATATTTTTTCTCATGTTTAGTTCAAGAAATGATTTCTGGCACTTCTGTCGTATAAGTCAAAAAAACCTTTATATCATAAAATAAGGTAATATATATTACTCGATATTTCTTTGTTAGAAATAAATCGAGAAATATACTCAAGTCCGCGATATTTTCTAGTTTCTGTAAGAATTACTCTAGTGAAAATTTTCAACTTAAAAAATTTTTGTATAATTTTTCTTCTAATTTTTATTATATATTTTATTTTGAATTTTTTATGGCTTCCAAATGAACTACAGCTTTTCATATAAAGTTTTATTTTTAAAACTTATATCATTTCTGTTATTATTTTATTTAGTTTAGTTTCATTTTATGGAATTTTAACTATGTAAATTACAATGAAGTGTGTGACTATACATTATATTTTATTAACAATACTTTTGCAATAATAACCAATTTAATTTTAATAGGTTCTAAGCTACTTAATTTCATTTAATGATCTTTTAACGCTAAGACTAAGTTAATGCCTTAAACAAATGCACTCTTTTGTTTAAAATCCATTTGAACCATTTTAGTTGTGATTTATTTAACAATTTAATTAGTAATTTTTTTAATTTACTATTAACTGTTACTATTAACTGAAGAGGAAGTTTTAATTGTTAAAAACAAATTGCAATTTGTATATAAGCAATACTCAAATTAGAGCTAAATTAAATTAAATTAACATATTTTATTTATTGTGCAATTAACTCTTTAAAACACAACTAAAATTTATACTAAAAATTATTGTATCAAAATATTATTAAGACTTTCATATTTTGAATTTAGTAAATTATTATTCTATGTAAATTTATAAAAACTGATTTAGCAACAAAATGCGCAAAGGACTTCCAGTGAGTTTTAAGCAATATTATAGAAATCATCGATATTATGTTGAAAAAAAAAAATTACTACTCAATTTTTGCAATTTAAGTTGATATTTAAGTAAACCTTTATGTGCTTATATACATATTTATATATATATATACATTATGCATAACTCATATATGTAACTGAAGCAATAATATTTACGCTATACAATAAATTATTATTAATTGTTTTTAATAAAACTACATACGCGCAATTTATACTGAATACAAAAATATACTCGTAAATTTACAAAAAAAACTTGTATTTTATTTATTAATTATAAGTTTATTATAAGTATTAGCATATAGTAGTAGTAAAGCATCATTGATTTGGCGTACGTCGATACCAAAACCGTGCACGATAGTCATCTGAACATGTGAGAAATGCTGGCGCATTAGGAGAATGTGTTATATAACGTACTGGGCCATTATGGCTCAATGACATAAGATTCAGACGTGCACCATTCCGTGCATTCCATGAACAAAGCGATGTAGTAGCCTCATCTGGGAACAAAACATAGTCTTCCGTATGATTAAATACTGCCTGTGTGTTATGCTCTTGTTTGCCAGTAGTGCCGGCACCAGTATATGTTTGTATAGCACGACTAGTACAAAGTTCCCACAGATACACTAAAGAGTCCTTACCAGACGATAATAAGTACTGTAAAAAAAAAATAAAAATATTTTGAAATTTTTTGAAGTTAGAGAAATTATATTATATATACCTTCCCGTTGCGTGTAAATTGTAATGAACAAATTTCTGCACCACCATGAGCATCCAGTATAGTATTTACACACCTTCCACTTACTGTATCCCATATTTTAATGCAGCCATCTACACTACCACTAGCGTATAGCTTTGCCTTCGAAGCAAATTTAACACATCTAATTGCTGCTTTATGCTGATGCGATGGTATAGCGCCACCATAACATTTAGATGTTTCAACATCATATATGCGTAAGGTCTGATGTTCAGTACCAACAACCATGAAGTCGCCGTTTGGATGAAAAGAAAGACAAGTCACCGGCTCACAGTCAGTTAAAACTTTGTGTGCTTTTTTCACAGACGGTTTAGCGATATCAAATAATTTAACAGTACAATCTCGTGACCCCGACGCAAGTATATGTTCAGTTGGATGAAATTCCAGAAAAGCCACTTCATCCGTGTGATCGTAGAGTGTACGTATAACTGGATGAGCTTGTTGTTCACGACCGGGCTCCAAATCTTCTGGTGCAGATTTTGCCAACATGCGTTCCACATCTAAAATCTTTATGCTGGCATCTACACTTCCCGTAGCAACTAATGTACCATCATGGCTGAAAGCGCCAGCGCGACAAGATTGTTTGTGGGAAGTCACATATGCTGTTTCGTACGAAGCCGGTTCTGGTGCTAATGTTGTACTCTCAGGTTCAAACTCTAAATCAATACCCATAACGACATCGTCATTTACTATTGGTTCTTTCTCTCTTTTAGCCAGCATGCCGGTTATCATTACGTGTAGCAAGCGTTCACTAGGTGCACATTCATCAGCTTTGACCAACATTGAAAGTTCAACAGCGAACTTGTCCAAACCATCATACATTAGTTGACTAAAAAATGTTTGAATTCTAATAGATCAGCACTTGAAATAATACTTTCTTACCTTATAATAAGTCGATACAATATCTCGCGATTTTTAACAAGATTTCTAGGATCTATAATATCCATTATTAGTTAAATTTTACCGGCTTGTAACTTTATTGATAAACAAAAGTAAATGAAATTCGCTTTGCGTCTGCTGACAGAAGCATTCACAATAGTTGAGAAATGCAGTTAAAACAAAAAATAAGAACATTTCAAAAAATCTACATAAAATCAAGTAAAATAAACTTGTTAGTTATTTCTTAAAATTAAAGATTAAACAAAGTGATATTAGGCAAATTTTTACAATTATTTTTATTATAATTATGTGATTTGTTCGACTCCCCTCATTAAAAATTCAAGTAAAAAATTAAAATCCAATTTCACATGGCGTTTTCGTTGGGTAAATCTGGGCAACTTTTTTAATCGAGATTCACTTTTAGTGCAATTTTCATTTTCGATTGCAAAATCTGTGTGGCACTCGAGATTAATGTATAACACTTCATATTAATTTATAACACTCCAGATTAATTCATAACTCTAGATATTTTGCCAGAAGGCCAAGGTTTGTTTTCACTGGACAGTACTGCCAAATAAGAAGATATTTTGCCAGAGTAGCAAATTATGCTAAAATTAACAGCTGTTTTATATGATTTGACAGATAAAAAATTGAGATTTGTTTTCACACGTGTTCAATTTGGTTTTTTTATGTATTTAGTTGTCGTTTTGAAAAAACAAATAAAATCAAAATTATAGCAAATTTAGCTCCAAATGCATTGTCATCTGTTGTTGTAAATGTTGAATGCAACTACACAAAAAAAGAAGTTAGTGTGAACATTATAATTCAATTGATTTATTTACTAAAACAACTACAAAAATATTAGATTACCCTAAAATGATCTTTTGGGCAACAAAATTTGACAGATCTAGAGTAAGTCTAGATTGAATCCAAATTTTCCAATTGAAAACGCCATAAGAGAAGAGTTAAGTGTAAACATGTTAAACCAACTAGTACTGTATTTATTTAAAAATCACATATAAAAATTATACTAAATATAAAATACCTTCAACACTACGGACACATAAACACGAAAGGTCAGATTGATTTACAATGAAATATTATTCAAATCAAATTCTATTAAATGCACGGTTTGATATAAAATATAAATTAATTTTACTACCTGTAGGGTGCATAATGAATCACATCTATTGTGAATGTTACTTCTGACAAAATTTTTATATATTATTGTATACGTTTTGTTCACGTCAAGAAGAAGCATGGAGAGAAAAACATTTGTAGCACGTGTAAGTGGCAACAGATTGTTAGTTGTAAGTTAGTGGGATTTATAAGATTTTATTTAATAAAATACAAAGCAGTCATGAAAATTAAAAAAAATCATGCAAGGAAACATTATCGTTACAATGTTAATAGAAAAACGCTGAAAAAAACCCGCACATCAACAGGAAAAATAAAAGAGTAAGTTAATTACCGGATTTCCGATATCAACGATGTTTATATTTACAATTTTATATTTTATAAAAGTCCTTGGCTAAAAAAGTTGTGGGAGGATCGAAAAAATCCTAATAAAAATTTTCGTGAAATGGGTTTATCATCAGATCCAAATAAAACAGTGCCGATACCCAGTTTTAAAAATGACCGACTTAAAATTGTCAAAATAGTTAATGGTTTTATGGAAGAAGAAATTGAGGAAGAAGAAAAACCAAAAATGAAACCAAGAAGAGGGCATGTTGCAGAAAAATTAGAAGAAATAGCCAAAGATCGAGGAGAATCTTTGCTAAGGTAAGTTTGAGTAATGTTTTCATATGTCCACTCACTTCAGTGAAATACCCAACATAAATAATTTAAATGACAACCGTCTACGATATAAACAAATGGCATTTATTATAAAGTAATTAAATAAGAAATTTAATTTATTAAATAGGCTTAAGTTCTTGTTTATGTATTTTTTATATACATGGTTATGTTGTAGGCCATAAAATAAGTTAAAACGGGTGGTGTACTACTACCGCATTTTCTACTCCAGTCAATTTTGTGGGCAAATTCATGCACAACATACGATTAAGCAACAGTCCCAGGTTACAGTAGTTACAAATATCAAAAAAGGATTTGAAAAAATACATTTGGTAGCACTGATCACAATTAAGCTACAATTATTCTATGAGCGGTGGGATCTACGTCCCTGAGCAACTCGTCAGCTGGGATGCCAAAGCGCTGCTCACCATTTCCAACAGGAACTATCCCATCAAATGTCTTCGGACTATGATTACAATAACATTAAGAATCGCTTGGTACTATGTTCCATATATACGTACTACAATGGGAGTCGTCAGCTACAGCTATTCTATTTTGTTCATGCGTTGAACAGTATAGTATACATGACAACATCCTTGTTGTTGTAAATTTCATTTTGTGTTAAATGTATATATAGTACAGAAAAATAAGATTTCGGTAGCAATGACGATATCACCAACACTAGGCTTAAAAATTTCTGTAGAAATAAATATTATTCAATATTATCCATAAATATTATTATTTTCAATATTGAAATTTAAATATAGAACAATAAATTTCTGTAACATTATTTGCCAACTAAATCAAAAGATTAACAATTTTTAATCAATAAAATATTTTTCCTAAGTAGTATTGGAAATATAGAAATAATAAATAAAGTATAGAAATAAAACGACTGAAGAAAATATATTAAACTAGCCAACTAAAATAATAGTGAATTTTATAATTTTCTTAAAACTACTTATGAAATTATAATAAGGTAATACATATATTGTATAATTAGAGACGTGTGTTATTATCAAGAGCAGTTATACTAACCAGAGAGATAAAATATATGAAATCTAAATTTATGTTATTATTACTTTCACTAACATATGTTACATATGTTATTTACTTATGTAATGTTTTTTATATTTGATTAAATAAGTTTCTACAAATATTTTCTAGAGCAATGTTTTAAGTTGAAAGAAAAAAAATCCATAAATATCATGTTACTCTAACTATTATTCCATTAATATTATATTATTCTTTTTTAGATTACCAAAAGGTGTTGTAAGCCAACTCAGTTATTTCCTCGATAAATATCAATTTAACTATAAAGCTATGGTTACTGATAAACGGAATTATGATCAATGGACCTGGAAGCAGTTTCGTATGAAAATACGTAAATTCATGTCCATACCAGAGCAGTTTAACAAATATTTAGAAAAGAAAAATATGAAACCGGGTGAAAAACTGCCTTGGACAGAGTATGATTCCGATAGTGAATGGAGATAAGCTACTATAAAAGATTGTTATGTAGAATAAGGTATCTTAATTAAGCAAACAATAAAACTATATACAATGGTAAATACTGGTATTTTATCATAAAAGTATATTTTATATGTTGTTATAATTATTGTTTAACAAACATAAATTAATGATATTAGTTATTTTCGGCTTTTTTGTCTAGCGCTATTCAGCTACTGTAATCAAATCTTTTCACAATTCTCGAAGAAATATAATAATTCAATAGAGAGAAAATATGTATATACACTTTTAACCTTATACAACAAAGTACAATTCGTCCATCGAATATCACGATTTTTGAAAACAATTAAAACAATTAAAACAATTAAATCCAAGATTGTATTAAAATGTCGCGCCTCACTGATGAGCATAAAACATCACAAGGTTTCTCTTTGCTGGATTCCTGGGCATAGCAATATCGAAGGGAATGAACTAGCAGATGAGATGGCCAGAAGAGGTTCTGCAATGCATAGAAGAGAAGTCGACCTCACAATACACACACCAATTTGTGAACTGTTTAGGATAATAGATGAAATCACCAACACGGTGACAAACAACTTATGGACTAACCGCGAAGACTGTGAGGTCGCTAGAACCTTATGGCCGAGGTTGGACAAAAATAAAACGAAAAACCTTTTAGGCTTCAGCAAACCTGCAGTTCGTGTGCTTACTGGAGTACTAACGGGGCACTGTGCCATTGCACCCATGCTCCAACGGTGGCGAGTTCCAACAAGCGGTTTATGCAGGAGTTGCTAAGATGAAGATGAGGTAGAATCTATCAACCACTTCCTATGTCTCTGTCCAGGACTTCAAACAAGGCGACTTCAATGTCTCGGAGATCGCTTTTTCACTGGCTTGGACGAGATAACGAAAGTAAACTTATCGGATCTCCTCAACTTCATCTGGAAAACCAAATGGTTTAACAAGGATCATAAAGGTTGGCAACTCACCTCTCCCGGCAATATTTTTTGAAGGCATCACAATGGGCAAAATATGCCTCCGAGTGGAAGTGCTGACAATTGGCAGCACGCTCCTTCCGAACCTAACCTAACCTTTATGTTGTGTAATTGTTACAGAAGTTACAATGGCTGGAAGTGTACAATATGTATATGTAATATATAGTATATGTATAATATTAAGACAGTAAGTAAATTGCTAACCGCCATTAGTTGATATCAACAGAAAGAAGGTTTCTTTATTGCCTTAATAAATCGGTTTCCATAATTATAAATCAAAAAAAATTGTAAAGTTTGTATGAACAGTCTATTTTTTGCATATACGTCTAGAAACCGTCTTAAAAGAAATACATTTGTACAGACTCACATTTGTACAGACCAATGTAGGGCATATATTGTTCATTTTATTAATGTATATAAATTTATAAAATTAAAAAGTCTTAACCTTTTGTTAATTCATCTTTAAAACAAAACTTTTTATATGACTAAGTTGAAGATATCAATGTATAATGAGCGCTCACACATAGCTTTGGTTCTAAAGTCTACCCGTAAAAGTTAATAGCGACTAGTAATACTGTAGGAACCTTTCCGTACTTATGTCTTATGTGACCATTTGTTATTTATTTTAAAATTTCAAACATTCGATTACCTTCTCCTTTTGTCTTTTAATGATGTTTATTGCTACTATACTCTTTTTAAAAAACTAACTAATAAATAAATAACTTCATGAAAGCGTTCCTCGACACAGCACCAAAGGACAGAAAGCAAAACTGTTTTGCTGAAATCGGAATCGATTCAACTCCAACATAGATTATGAGTTCTGTACACCGACGTGACGCTTTGTTTTATGAGTGAAGTATAAGTCTTGCAGAGCTATTACAATTCATTAGAATGTTTCCTGAAAACGGGACGTCTTTTTGATGTTTGGGAGAAACGGGATAAGAAACTTGAAAATGGAACAGTCCTGTTTAAAACGAAACAGTTGTTTACCTTACCCATACTTCACATTTCTATGATAGAGATTATAAAATTTTCTTTCTTGATAATATTGAAAGGCTTAAAAGTTACAATAGCCAGTGGTTCAAACACTCGTCGGTTTTAAGTGAATAGAACAATTGAACTTTCGGCTTTTCAAGAGAAACGGGAAGTTTTGCTCATCTCTTCTAAGAGGGACTTACAAACTTGGTTTCCTGCTTAAGTTGCAACAAGCTCATTAGGGCAAACTAAAGTCAAATTAGATGCAAAATTTTCTTTGATAAAATCAGGCAAAGCTTCTAAATCTGCAAATACAGGTAAACTTCCATAACTCGAACTTCTATAACTCGAATTTTGTATACCTCGAACCAAAAACAGTGCACCAAGGTTTTAGAGAGCAAATTACATACAATTCTGCTTCCATAACTCGAACTTCTATAACTCAGATTTCTCTATAACTCGAACAAAAATTTTTTTCCATGCTTATGGGAAAGTGCATTCTATAAGTCGAATTTTTGTATTAAGTATAAATGCATTTTGCTGTTAGAAGTCCCTTTCTCTAAACCAAATGTTTAATCTTTTCTTTCTCATGTTACTTCTAAAATAACTTTCAATGCTACTCTTAACGATTATATTAAGCTTGACAATGAAATTTGTACATCAATATCGCCTACAGATGGCGATATTATTGAGCACTATAGCTCTAAGTTACTGGATCCAATTCTAAGCGCAACGGAAAGTGATAATGAGGGTTTGGTGAATGTAATTGTTCATCAGCCTTCCAAGAATGAAATAGAAGACTCATTCAAAATTCTGAATTTATATTTACAAACGAATGATATTCCAACTTACGATCACTATAAGAGTATGAATAAAGTGCAATCTCTTTTTACTGAAAATAAGAAACCTAAACCCTAATTTCTGAATATTTTACTTCACTATAAATTCCGTAAAATGTAATTTTTCATTTTAGAATACCGTAAAATGTAAGTTTCTTTCAAAAATAAAAAATTTATAAAAAATTCTCTCTCGAAGTCTCCATAAGTCGAACCTTCCCTTTGCAAAATTAGACCTCGAGTTATGGAAGTTTGATTGTATTTGAAATAGATCTTAGTATTTGGTTCCAGTCTGTCAATATAGAAGTAGCTAACGTTTTTATTGTGTTGTTGTTGCTATTGTTCCTTATTAAATTGTATAATAATTTATTATTATTAATTTTTTGTATAATAAATGTATAATTATTAGTGCAATTATGCTATTACAGTTAACATATACAAGATCGGAGTATATCATCTATAGCATTTGAGTAATTGTAGTGTGAATACTATTTCATTGATCAATTTAAGATATATTATTGAAAGATATACATGTCCTTCATGTTTATTACATGAAGTTTACTATATAATACTTTTGTTAATACAGAGGTTTTAATAGAATAGCCCCGGTATAATTGTTTCTATTATAATTTTGGTGAAATTAATTTATATTAAGAATTTTTTATGTTATATAGCTAAGTATGTGGCTTGTAAGTTCTGTAAGTTTTGTATTGTATCTAATTAATTTCCATATTGTATATATTCAACTATGTGAAGTGCACTAATAGAGAATACTAGAATACCAGACCCTTCTACAGTATTGCAAAAATAGTACAGAATTGCTTATTTTTGTTGTGGTGCGAGTGACATTTATTTTTAGCACTGATGTGTAATATATTATAATTTGAATGCTGTGCAGCAGATAGCTATGATATATTGGCTGTTTCGTTTGTCACCAAGCAAAATGTAAATGTAAGCATTTCAATGCTACATATCAATTGGAATAACACATTTTGGTTGAAAATAGATAGAACTAAAGATGTTCGATGATGTTTAAATTTCCCACTTGCACTGCTGTTAAAGGGCTAAAATGTATTTAGCTAGTGCATTCATTCCACATCACATGGATGATGATGCAAAAACGTTGCAAGGGTGCAAAGGAAACAATTCATGCTAAAACTGTGCTGGTATGATGCGCTTTATTCCAGCGCATGTGCATCAAAACTGTTGCGAATCGTTCTTTCCGTTTTAGTGCTCGAGGTAAGTGACACGAAATTTCGCAAGCTTCTAAAAATCCAAATAATTTTAATAGAAATTGCAAACATCATAAATTGATTCGTAAATATTATAAAATTCAACGATTTCGGTAAGTGAGCTCAATTCATATTTATATATTTTTAATTTAAATATTTATATTAAATAAAATTGAATTGAAGTGCATGGAAAGTGCAGTGTATGAGAAAATGGATCAATCAATTTTAACCGGCCGGTGCACTTTGTTGGAAGTAAAATAAAAAAAAATTGTGAAATTTAAATAAACACATAACGGTCTTAAAATTTAATTATTTCTTTTAAAAATTCTTTTTCTTATATAATTTTTAATGTTAATTTATATATATACATATATGCCATATGGCTACCAATCGCACCTTTGAAGTAGTTATGGAGTTGTAAATTTCCCGAGTTAATTAAAAATTAGGGCATACTACCAAAATATTGTTTAAAATATTTATACTTAATGAAATATTAAATATATATGTTTGTATAAGGAAGTATAAATATCGCAAAGGTACACATTGAGTGATGTATAACCTCACTTTTTTGCTGAGTAACCATGTGCTCCCATTTGTTTAAATAAAATGCCTTGACAACAGCTTTCGAGATATAAGTAATTTGAATATTTATAATTATATATGTGAAAATTCATTGTAAAATTTCAAAATGTTTACAAATGTTTAAATTTGTTCAAAATAATTACTTTAAAATTGTCATATAATAAGTGTTAAAGGAAATGCGAAATAGGACACAGACCAAAAGTAATAATTTTTAGATCTTCGATGCCTTGTCTATTTTCATCAAAACGCCAAATTCCTTTCCCAATCCAAAAAAATGGGTATGTCAAACTAAAAATTAACTTTTGAATTTTGAATGAGGGGTCTTAAGAAATAAGGATATCTAATTACCTTTATATATCTTGAAATTGTAATTTCTGTTAAAAGAATATAACAATTCAATGCACTATTTTTTAGAATTATTACTTGAGAAATGATAATTGAACAATTAAGTCTTTGCGTTTGGTGATACTATAGACTTAGTGCTGTTGGTTGTGATACATCATATACCGAAAGTTGGAATATTAAAAAAAAAAGTTGTATATTATGGTTATTATCGTATTCTTTTTTAAATCCTCCAAACTTGAAATTAGTGGAAGCATAAAATCTATATCAAAAATTTTATGAAATATGTAGAGATAACGAGGTTTATGAATTCCATGTGATGACGAAATTACACCATAAATTTGTGTCACTGTGTGTACCAATATACTTATCTTGATTGCATACAATATAATATTTAGTTCATACTTTAAGTACATTATATTTTTTTATAGTTTGAGTATTGAGGGATTTTCTTACAGATATTTTGATTCCTTTGTGAAACCCTAAAATTGATCAATATCCTTGCAATATTCCTTATCTATAAAAATGTGAAACAATTTCAGACTTATGTAGAGGACACGAATATAATATTTAATAGATGTAACTTAATAACTAATCAAAAGTAATGTGAAATAGTTTCTAACAAGAACTGTTTCGTTGTAATGAAAAATGGTAAATGAAGTAGTGCGGTAAGCAGTTCACATCTACTCATCATCAACTTAATTATTCTAGATCAACGGTATTATTACAAATACTTGTGATGACATCTAACAGCTAATTATAGACAAATACTCAAATATTCAATTAAAAAGGTTGTTTCATTTAAGATAACCGTTTTCGAATCGGTATCTAAATATTAACGATTTCAAAAAAAATACTATAACCTTTATAAGTTTTTAAAAAAATCTGGTATCTCTCACAGATTCAACCTTATATCTTGATATTCGAGGATTTTAAAAATGATCGAAAAAGAACAAATGTTATGATATTATAGAAATAGTTATAGATTTTTTTATTATGCTCTATTTTAACTTTTGAATGAATATTTCATATATTTGTTTTGTGGTTATATTCGGATTCTGTTAAACCCTATTTCTGGGCATGTACTCTCTTGATAGGCAGTTAGTCATTTCATGAACAATTGAACTAGAACACTTTTAAAGTTTTAGTAATCTTTATATACTTTCAAATCGGCCAATACTGATACTTATTGTCTGATGGGAAATTTAAGAAATAAGTCGGGTACTATTAAAGTATATATTCGATGCAATAATATTTATTTCTAAATATATAGTTAATAAAGATAAATTTTGTCAGATTCCAACATATTTTAATATTTGTTATGAAATATTTTCTCTATACTGTATTGATCTGTAACAATCCTATTTTAAAAACGATTACTTAGATATGAGTCTCTAAACAGGAATTTATTTTGATTAGACTTATTTCAGCGATCTCCAGTTAATGGATCTCATATTTGTAATGGTTTTCTGCAAAGTCTGCAAAATACTTTCGTTTGATAAAAATTGTTTTCCACAAGAGATTTTTCAACGTGTGAAAAGGTTGTTATTTAAACTATGTGAGCATATACATTGTCTTAATAAAAAATTAGTGTTTTCATTTTTATAGCAGATTTTAGATTTAAAAAAATGTGTTGGGAACTTGTCACCACGTCACTACAACCTTTGAGGGTTATTGTGACATACCCACTTTAGTTCAAGTAACAGTTAAAAACTCCATTATATTCTTTGGAGAGATGTTGTCTAATTCTGTTATAAGTGGATAGGTAAAGGATAAGTACCATTGTCTGAGTCTGGCGAGATTATCACAGTGACACACAAATTTGTATATCCTATTGTTTCCTAATTTAAAGGTCATCTACTAACAAAAATTTCGTTTATGATTTTTAAAAAAAGTATGATTTCTAAACACGAATTCGCTTCGGAAAAGAAAAGGTTCATATCACTCCTTAGTTTTTTGTTATCATGTAGGGTCACGATGCACAAAATCCTTTTCATTCTTTCTAAAACACTACAAATATTGTTGACAAAGTCGCATTCGAATATTTTGCATTGTTAGCGTATAAGGCACATCGTTTTAAAATCGAACACTTAACATAAAATATTGTTCCATGTGCTTAATAAAATTCCTAGGGCCTCTACTAAATCGTTATTGGTCAATCAATAATCTTAAAAAACCATATCCTGTATTTTTGCTACGATTGCTGACGTTGATATAGCTGAAGACGCTCTTCACTTGAATTGTGTCTAAAGCTTGTACGATCAATTTTAAACAAATCAGTCCATTTATTAACCTTTATGTTTAAAAAGGCAGATTCATCTCACACCTTGAAGAATTCACAGTATTTTTCTTCTATATCTTTAAATTGTGGTTAAAGTGGATGATATCAACTGATATATTAAGACAATAATCTTTTGGTTATTACAGCGTTGGTTTGATTGGTTCCCATTCAGATCCTGCTACCAAATATTGTTATCATCTATTTAGTGATCATCCCAGACCTCTTCATTATCAAAAAAAGTTTTTATTTAATTTATTCTCAAACATTCTGTGAAAATGATCTTTTCACAATTTTCTAAGGTTCCTAGAGCACTGAATTAATTTTTACACTGAATTTTATTTAACTTTAATTTGTTTTCCTATCCATCTGAGAGAGTACAACAAGTGGACTTAAAGTTTTCATTTCTAGAGTTATTGAGTTTTGTTGGTTCCGCTTGGATGTGTTTTATATATTATAGTTTTTCAGTTAATATGCATAAATTTGTATCGCCTTTTAGTATTCGTAGATAATGAGATATTGAAACGACTCTATCGGTTTCTATATCGGACTCTATCGGTCTGTTTTTATAGATATCTGCGTGGTTTAACGATCTAATATAACCAATGTTAAATAATTACTTATAGCTTGAAATAACACATAGCCCTAAGGGATTATTTAAAATATATTACAATATTATAATTATTTTAAAACGAATTTATCTATATATTGTTAGGTATAAAAAATTTTAAGCAAAATAATAGATAAACAATGCATGTAATAGCAAATTTAAACGACCTCTATAAGGAATTTTTTCTAATAAAACGGATTCAGCACGAGTTTTCTTCGAGATAGCGTTAGACACGTGCTTTTTAAGTAAAAGAATGGATACAAGACCCCATTTGATATACCTCGAAAAAAATTTGTATTGAACAACAGATCTAGAATAACATTCTTTCAGATATATAAGGTATTACAGCTTAAAAAGTAATTGTGTTTTTATAAACTGTGCTCATAAAATATATACAGATATTGTTAAGTACTAATAGTTTTACATAAAAAATATATGTGAGGAATCTGCGTACTATTTATAAATATAATTGCTTCAGAAAGTAGAATGTGCTTGTAGTGTTAATTAAAAATTAGAGCAAATAAACTATTCAAAGATTAAAAAGCAATTTAATAAAACGATCAGACGATTATTCTTTAAAAAATGGCGTAGCGGTGATGACAATAGTTAACAGTTTTGATTAAAGAATGTATAGTTTAATCGAAAACTTGATCAGATCGAGTCAGATGGCAAAAATTGGTTGAGGAAGTTGGTTTGCCCAGGACTGTTATACTAAGAAAGAAGAAGATCCATATTTAATCCATAATATCTTGTATTATTTATATATTCGAAAAATTTTTCGGTTTGGACGTTATATCATATTGAGCCTTTTCCGAGTTAGTGCATTTGGGCACTGTTCCTCTTTGATAGGTTTCTGCAGAGTCCCACCTATCTCACTGACGAATTAATGTATTCCTCATAAGCTACGTGTTTATTTAATGACTGACCTAAGATCTGCGTACCGCCCCGTGCGGTTACTGATTACTCTGAAATTAGATAATGCTAAGTAGAGCACCCTGTCGGTTTTCGCATATAACTTCAGGGCTCTGTCCCTTATGTATTTTTTGACCGAATATTATAGCGAGAACTGCATTTTACACATTATTGAACATAAAAATAAAATACATAAAAATCATCTATCTTATATAATAGATTCGAAAATTTGTTAGCTTTGTACAAAGCAGTTTCTATTCTTTAAAAAAATTTATAATAAAGGAAAGAAAAGGATCTACACGTCAACAGATGTGATCTCAAAATTATACGCAGCAATTACTGAACATTACAGTAACATCTATCTGTATATAAAGTATATATCTTGGAAACAGATTAATACAAATGCTCCTAAAAAGACAAAAACGGAGCTCTTTTCTGAACTGGATCATAAGTAATTGTAAGGAGTGAACTTGGAGAACTTATAATAACTTAATAAAATAACAAGCCATTAAATAAGCACAATAGATGTATCCGTCATCAAAGTATACAGTATTATAGACTCACTCTGTGATCACCAAAGTATACAGTATTATGCACTCCATCCATCATCAAAGTATACAGTATTATGGACCCACTCTGTATTAAATCATCAAATAATACAGTATTATGGACTCACTCTGTATTAGAGCATCAAAGTACACAGTATAATACCCATTCTCTATTACTATCATTCAATATAAATTATGTTTTTTTTGTTTAGTATCACGTTTTATAATTAATATAAGCCATTTAACTCTCTTGGTTCTACGGAGCAACATATCAAAGGTTTTTTATTCAATTATATACATTAATATGAAATAAAATCTAAAAGGCCTACTATGGAAGCAATGCTCTGCTCCATTGGAAACCGTTTTCTCTGTTAAGTATTTGTATTAAGACAAGGGATTCTTGTAAGCTTTTATTTCTTAAGAAATGTTAAGGAATTTTCCCACGATTGCTGAAATAATGTCACAACACTTAGCACCACTTTATGGAAGCAGTGCAGCTGTGTTAATAAACTATGGAATAGGCAAAGGAATTTTATATGTCATATATGTCATTCTCGTTGTATGCATATAATTGCGTACTTACTTTTTCGCCACCACATGTGGGACACTCATCAGAGCGAAGATTTTTTGTCGGTTTTGCGAGTGCATTTGTGTTTGTTAATTGCTTGCCACCCCAACATTTGCGGCTTAAGCTCCCATGCGTAATAATAAAATCGGTGTAGGTTCGTTGCAACAACGACACGAGAATTGATTTTTTACGTGGAAGGCTAGGCACGACGAAGCAACTCTGAATCAACACGAATTGCGATGCGATGTGCACTTCCAATGCAAGACGAACGCCTCGCCGATCCAAATTTCTCGTAGCCAACGAACGACACAGGCTCACTTCACTGCTCCGCGCATAAACGGTAGTAACTTCAGCGAGAAAAAAATTTGCTCGTATTGATTTTTCGGTATAGGGAAAACGCAGACGAGAATTTTCCACATTTGTGCAGTAAAACTGTGCCGACTAGGCCAGGTATTGTGGTGTAATTCAAAAAGCGGTTAGTAATTTAAATTAATAATAATACTGAAAACAAAAAATACCTGATTTAAAAATAAATAAATAATATTTTAAAAGTTGACATAATAATATATAATAATAAATTAAAAAATAGAATTTATAATTGTATATAAATTATAATAATACATTTATTATATATGTATAAAAAAAAATATTTTAAAAGTGAAAATTAATAGATATATATATAATATTTATTTAAATAAAAAAAACACTCTTATTTTATTGAGCAATAAATTGTGTAATATATTCATCAATAGCAATTTCTATTAAAATAAACTAATCAATTAATAATAATAAAAAAAAAACGCATATAAAAATATTTTCACTCTAAATTAACATCCTTTCTACCTACCTCAACCCCAAAACCTACGCCAACTCTGTTTTTATTGCGCTGCCACCTTTACCCACCACCCTCCAGCACTTCTTTGCGTTGTAGAAAAATATTACATATCTTAAGTAATATTTTTTCCACTGCAAAACACTAAACACAAAAAACATAAAATATGAATTCCTCTGCTTATATAACTCTTTTATTTTACAGTTTTTCGTTATTTTTGGTGCAGTGAACCTAAAAATAATTTTTAATTGTTCACTTCAACTGGCGGCAGTTAAATTGGTGAGTAGAACAATTTTACCCACCTCAATAAAAATATTTTGCACTCTATTCACTACATTATATTCACTAATTTAATTTAATAGAACGAATTTTGACTAAAATAATTTTTTATTTTATCTTTTTTTTCTGTTTTCAATTTAGCAATATTGCATAAAAAATGGGCAAGGAGAAAACTCATATTAATATCGTAGTCATCGGTCATGTCGATTCCGGCAAATCCACCACGACTGGTCATTTAATTTATAAATGCGGTGGCATCGATAAGCGTACCATTGAGAAATTCGAGAAAGAAGCTCAAGAAATGGGCAAAGGCTCATTTAAATATGCTTGGGTTTTGGATAAATTGAAGGCTGAGCGAGAGCGTGGTATTACCATTGACATAGCTCTGTGGAAATTCGAAACCCAAAAGTACTACGTAACCATTATTGATGCGCCCGGTCATCGTGATTTTATTAAAAACATGATTACCGGCACCTCACAAGCCGATTGCGCTGTATTAATTGTTGCTGCTGGTACCGGCGAATTCGAGGCAGGCATCTCGAAAAATGGTCAAACACGCGAACATGCTTTGCTCGCTTTTACTTTGGGTGTGAAGCAATTAATTGTGGGTGTTAATAAAATGGACTCAACTGAGCCAGCATATAGTGAAGCACGTTATGAAGAAATTAAAAAGGAAGTTTCATCTTATATCAAAAAAATCGGCTATAATCCAGCATCGGTAGCTTTTGTACCAATATCTGGTTGGCATGGTGATAACATGCTTGAACCATCCGAAAAGATGCCTTGGTTTAAGGGTTGGACTGTTGAACGAAAGGAGGGCAAAGTGGAGGGTAAATGCTTAATCGATGCATTGGATGCAATTATGCCACCTCAACGACCCACTGACAAACCACTGCGCTTGCCATTACAGGATGTATACAAGATTGGTGGTATTGGTACTGTACCAGTTGGACGTGTAGAGACCGGCATTTTAAAACCAGGTACGTTTACAATTGTATGAGTGCGAATGTGTGCAATATATGTGAAAAAAGTACATATTGCTGAGCTAAAATTAGGTCGCAGGGTTGGGGTGAAATGGCATCAAATATGACGGCTGCACTATGTGGGTGAAGTTTTATAAGTGTACACATCAAATTTTACTATGTATGCATATTATCAATACATACGTGTATATATGTATATATTTTCTTTTCTTTTATGGTACATTTGAAATTTCAATATGTATAAAAAGTGTTTAGGTACTCATGCACCTAATTTTATATTTATAGGTATGGTGGTCAATTTTGCACCTGTTAACTTGGTAACTGAAGTTAAGTCAGTTGAAATGCATCATGAAGCGCTATCGGAAGCCTTGCCTGGCGATAACGTCGGTTTCAACGTAAAGAACGTTTCTGTGAAAGAGTTACGTCGTGGTTATGTGGCTGGTGACTCCAAGAATTGTCCACCAAAAGGAGCTGCAGACTTTACTGCGCAGGTAAGCAAAATAATAAAAAATTTGATTTTGATTTATTTTTTGATATAAATAATATATGAGAATACAATAGGTTATAGAAATATAATAAACATTTTTGACAGTGTTTAGACCTCAATATAAATGTAAAATATTTTAAGAATTAAACTTCTATGAATCAAACTTCTATTGATTGAAAATTAGTTTATTTCGGCAATTTTCTTCAAATAAAGTAATTTGCTTTTTAAACACAGTTTAACCGGTGTTAAACCGGGAAAATATGAGTTCGATTTAAAATTTTTTTGCAATAAATTCTTTTAAATAATATAAAAAAATGGACTTTTAAATCCTTATGTTTACTACAAAATAATTTTAAATAGAAGTTTCTTAGATTTTGTTATCAGCGGTTAGCTTTACATTCGGTATGTACCGACTAATTCAATGATTATTTATGATAATATAATATTATTATGATTTTATTACTATCACTAAACAGTTATAAGCATTTTCAGTAGTATTTGGTAATGAATTTCAAACTCGTACAACATGATCTGCAAAGGCTACTGTTGAAGGAGTACTAAAATCTTGGAATTATGTAAAGTGTTGCTTTGTTTAATTGTAGTAACTTTAGAATAGTAAACAAATATGTACCTGGCTATTGCTAGGCATAATTTTAAATAAAAATAAGTGCATTCTATAATTTATAATGCAATCGCAACCTAAAATGATACTTTTTTATCCTTGTAAACGGTCAAAACTCTCAAGGCAATACACATATCAGGTCATGCAATTAACTAGTGCTACTTCAATTAACTGCTTCAATTAACTATTTTACGATAGTATAACGAGTGCTAACAGAAGTGTATCGTACAAAGCATCTTAAGCAAGCAAGCATCTTATTGTCTGATATATATTGACCCGGCAGTTTACTAATGACAGATACGATATAACTGCTTCTTCCCAAACTACCGATGACAAGCTTTCAAAACTAATAATAATTCTTGAAATAGGAACGATCACAATCTTATTAACATTGAGCAACATTTTATTGGTATTTGACTATCGACTAGAAAGCTTCAAAAAATGTAGGTCGACTAAAAAAATATATCTGCATAGCACCATAAATTCACATAATTGTAAAATAAAGAAATTAAGGATGGAACCTTGTGGAACCGTATTAGGTGGGGATTTGAAACCCGAATACTAATTATTTTTTTGCTACTGCCTGTGTGTTTTAGATTTTAAAAAGTGTTTGATCAGTTTTTAAAAATCAGAATACGGCTGCGTAATCGAAAGCTTAAGATAAGTTATGAAGACTCAAGAATATGTTAATTTTATTGCCATAGCTAATGCGATTCCACGAGATCAATCGTGTTCCTTCATTAAAGTGAACTGTAGAGCAAAAAGTAAGTCTAATACGTTTAGGTGGCAGTTAATCTTTTGTCATTATATTTGCATATATTTTAAAATAATGCTGTTTGGCCGATAATCAATCACTAGGCAATTTTTGCCTTCTAAGTATTAAATTAAAGGATATTTAATAGGCCAAAAATGAGTATAGGAATGCTCAAATGAGCCGTTGTTCAGATATAAATATTGTTTTGACCAGAATTTTTTTTTTGGATAGTTAAAATCTTCGATATCTTGTATCTCGTTTAATAAATTAAAAGCAAAGTTAGAGAGTGGTTAACCCACATTCAGTACGATTTTTTCATTTCCGAATAATAACTATTAGTACACATGGTATTGAGAGGTTATGAGTTAGGCTACGGCCCCTATGCATTACGGCAAGCTTGATCTATTGAGCACCATAACTACACAAAGTAACAAATTTATACAATGCGTAGTGTTATTATTATTTTTATGTTAATAAAAAGTATGATTATTTTTCTTTTTTAGGTTATTGTACTCAATCATCCTGGACAAATCGCTAATGGCTATACTCCAGTTTTGGATTGCCATACTGCTCATATTGCTTGTAAATTTGCTGAAATTAAGGAGAAATGTGATCGACGTACTGGCAAGACAACCGAAACTGATCCTAAGGCAATTAAATCTGGTGATGCTGCTATTATTATGTTAGTACCAACTAAACCATTATGCGTTGAAAGTTTCCAAGAATTTCCACCGCTTGGACGTTTCGCTGTGCGTGATATGAGGCAAACTGTTGCTGTGGGTGTTATAAAATCTGTAACATTTAAAGAGACGACTTCGGGTAAAGTCACAAAAGCCGCTGAGAAGGCCCAAAAGAAGAAATAACTAGAGTGCCATCAGATTAAGAACTCATATGAACAAATGCAAAATCTAATGACACCAATGATGTTATTTCCATCAAAAACAGCAACAATAGATGTAACAGAAGAGTTATACAAAACACAAAGACAAACAATTATTAATCATAAACTTAAAAAAATACTAAAATTTATTTATACCAATAATACGCATAGCAATTATGTTAGTAATATAATTTTCAATGTGAACAAATACAACAATCTCTACAACTCCTATTCCTGTAATCGTAGTTCATCATACAAAAGCGTTATCATTACCTTAAAGTATGCTTTTATGCAAGATCGTAAATCATATAAGATCATCCTACATGAATCATTAATAATGGAAACATTGGAACAATTATCATTCCTCAAGCAACAAATTGAAAATCAAGCAAAACATACAACATCATTGCTTTTAAAACAACTACCAGTCGTAAAATTATCACCCTCTATAACCAACATTTATCACAGAATAGCCTATTTTCAATTCATTTCTGTCACCATTATGGTATTATTTTTTTTTACCTATTATGCGATTCTTGTACTCAATCTATATAGACATCGTAAATCATTTCGCAGGAAATCCATAACTGCTGCACCAGTTATCATTAATGCATTTTAACAATATCATTCAACTAAAAGTAATTTTAATATCACTCGGAGAACATTAAGATTTTTACTCATAGATTTAAATTCTGATGCGATCTCTCATCAGCTCAAATCCTTTTAACATACATTTAACATATATTTAAAAAATTTTTTTTTATTTAATTTTTTTTTTGAATTAAAAAATAATTCATATTCTGTTAATAATTAATAACGTTATAACGTTCCTCAGTTGAACATCAACATCAACATCACAACTATCATCTCTAGTTTCTATTTTTTTTATATATGAAACCAATATTATATTCCCAAAATAAATACGTACATCCAGACTCTCTCGGTAGAAATAATGAGACAATTTTAATCAAACATAATAGAGCATCATTTGATTATTATTATTACACATCATCAATTCAATATTAAAACCATTTAAATATTTAAATATTTAAAAAGTTAAAAATAAAATTAAATGTCTACTTACATTTCTTATCCGGTTTGTAAGGAAGAAATGGCATCTTTTAATGTTGGCACCAATTTGTAGCTTAATCATCATAAATGTAAAAGTTGCTTGAACTAAACAAAATTAAATATTAATGAAATAATTAAACATAAATTTTAAATGTATGATTGAAATTATGATGTTATAAATGAGAATAAAGAAGGCTTAACCAAACTACTTAAATTGGTTTCGAATACTCTCAAAGTGATAAGTTTAGTCCACCTAAAATTATTCTATCTTATCATATAATTTTTTATTTCAGAACGCGAAACTTATATAAAATCATATAGCCATATATATATTGTGATATATATTGTGAAATGTTGGGGCAGCGCACCGTCCAACAAGTGACTCCACTGAATTGAAGGATTAGCTGTAGTAGACTTCGAACCGACTTGGGTCCTTTTTCGTCCTTCGATTCTCGGATGTTGTTATTGAGTTAAAACTGGAGTGGCTTCCGTTCGCACAACTACATCGCTTGTTAATGCAAGCAGTTCATTTAGCTTGCGGTTGCGTACCACCATCACCAACTTAATGGTGTCACAAGACAGTCTTTCTTCTGCTTATCAGTACTGGCAATATATGCACCGCTGTCTCCTTTTCTTCTAGACATAGTCTGCAAGTGTTTTCCTCAGCAAGAGTTATCTTTTTGACATGATACTTGAAGTTTCCATGTCCTGTCTGTAATCAATGAGATTATATAAAATCATTATCAGAAAACTCAATCTGGTAAAATTAACTCTTAGTAATGAATTGGAAAAAATTTTCATCTATCATAAATCAACGCCCGAGATCACATTCCCATAATTAAGAAATGAAAAATAATAGCATTAATATTCGGGTTTCAAATTTATCGTTCGTTAAAAATATACTCTATGGTCGATTTACTTTATCCGCAATTAATTATTTATTTATAGAAGTAAAAGAGAGAATATAAGAATACGGACACGAATCAGTATTCATTAAGCTGTGACAGAGAACATAAAAATAAGGACTAGGGTTCATTAAAAGTTGACTCTATGGATCGTGTTACTTTAGATGTGATTAAATAACGGAATAAAAGAGAATGAATGATTCATATTGTAAAAATATAAAAACATGGATGAGCAGGTGTATAAGAAAGAGTTCGGAAAATCTTAATAAAAAATGCTTCAGTATTTGGATTGCCAGATAAAATTTTTTCTTATTTATTAAGAAATAAATATTAAGGATTAATATTTATTATTTTGAAAGCATAGGAGTACAAGAGTCTGGAAAGTAGTACTCAGCTCTAAGTAAGCTATGGTACACCATTGTTTTCATTCAAATCAAAACTTAACATAATAGATTAGGTACAGATTCAACATAAGCGAATTTTATTTCGGGTATGTCTTTATGCCCAATCGAAGTTTCATCTCAATGATAACGTAAAGTTTGTATTTTCCATAAAATTGAGTTGGTGGTGGTAGAATTAAAACTGAGGAAAAATCACTTCGTAGCTCATTGGGTCAGAGGGCTTAAATAGATAACAGAATGCTATTGTCAATAGATGAACTGTAACGCACTTTATAGTACCGATTGCACTTTACATTTATTTTAGAAAATTGAATGTGACTATTTATTGCAGTAAAGAAGACAGGAGCTACACGGTAAAGATTGTGGTGGCTGGTGCATAAGGGACTTCGTTGTTTTCTCAGCTAGTGAATAAGCTGAGTCCATAACTTAACTAGAGCAACGGTAAAATATATAAAAGGATGCATTATGTAGTGTTACTGAGGTATAGTAAATAGCCTTAATATATATATTTTATAAAATAAAATATAAAAAGAAACACAGTAATAAAATAATTATTTTTAATGTAATTAAAAAATAGTTGGTGATTAATTTAAACTAATTTAACCAATCTTGTTTAATAACCAAAATATATATATATATATATAATAACCAGTAAATTCAATAAATTAATGTTTATTAAATTACTTAGATATTAATTAAATATTATTATACCACAGCATTGGCAAATAATTATTTGAAATGCCGAGAATTGTTTCGTATTCTTGAGCAATGGGCATGAAATAAATAATTCAGCTTTTTTAACACCTTAATAAAATCAAAGTAACAAATATCATATAAAGCTAATAATTTTAAATGTAAACTAAAAATAAATGAAACCAAAATATTGCAAAGAATTAATCAACATTAATCAAACTGTTCGTAAATTATTTTTGATGCTTATTTCCGGTTTTAAGATGTCAATATAAATGTAGTAGCCGCTGTACACATGACAAATGTCAATATATGGCCGGGCAGCAAAGATGAGTCAATTTCATAAACAAAAGGCGTTGCGAAGTGCTTTGTTTTAGAACCAGGTTCATATTTTTTAATTGAAATCTGCATTTAAAGTATTAAAAGAATAAAGTAAGTTTTCAGAGATATTTTTTACGATGCAATTATATTTATTTGGGTTTAATTTTCGTAGTTATGGCTGATCCACGCATAAGACAATTGTTTATTAAGACGGGTGTTGTTAAGCGTTTGACAAAGGAAAAAACGGTTTGCGAAAAAGAAATTGTGACCGAACAAACTCGCTTGGAAAAGCTCAAAACTAGCGGTGCAGATGATCACAGCGTAAGAAAACAAGAGGAAGTTATACAAGAATGTTTAATGATGCTACCAGACGCAATAAGAAGGTAAGCATTTTATTTGGGAGTATGATTCATTATAAACATATATGCACTAATTATCTTTACACTTTAACGCAATATATATTTACCAGATTGCAAAAGGAACTTGAACAGCTTGAAAAGATGTTGCAAGATGAACAAGATTTAAATGAAGCAAAAGAGTATGCAACTGCAACACAAGTAATTAGTGAAGCTAAAGAAGTTCTCAGTCACAATCTGTAAAGTGTAAAATATTAGTAAAAGTATTATAAAATAATAAATTATATATTGTATTTCACCATGAATTCCTTACATTTAAGCAAAAAATCAAAAATAAAACTTTTAAAAATACAAAATGTTATAAAGAATATCAACTATTTAGAAGAAATCGAAAAGGGCAATAAGCCTATAAACTCAAAAAAACTAAAAAAATTAATACAAAAAACTTCACGATTTCTCGATGAATTAGAGAAGCCTAATAAACGAAAAAAATTTCACAAACTTCAAAAGAATATAACAGTAGTGCCAACAAATTCCCAAAATACATCAAAGCTAGTTTTATCCAATAAAAGTGAAATTACCACATGCAAACAGTCAAGTACAACTCATAAGTCTGCAGTTAAGAAAGAACATCATCGTCTTCGGATTTGTTATGAGGCTAATCGTTTTCTACGTACATTTAATTTATTGAAAACTTTACATTTAAAACGCAGCAAAGATCCCATATCCACGCAAAGGTTCGGTGCAAAACTAAATCGATTACAATCCCAATGGTCAACAATTTTACAGGAAAACACACCATGCACAAGAGCAAAATACAGTGTAGAGGACCAATGGAATGAAACAATTTTTGGCACATCATTACTAACAGATTTTGGTAGACCTCAAAAGCTCGACAAATTTTTACATATAAGGTTGGTTTGTAAAATTTGATATATAAAAATTCCTACAAAATACAAATATTTTTTTTTTAGACGTGTATGGGATTCTTATCTTGTGCCGTTAAAAAACCAACACGGTTCTTCAATACCTATCGGCTGGGTTTTACCTAGAGAAGATGCAGATGATCGTTGGCTTCCATACAAATGCACATAACAAAAATTTTCTTACTAATTTGCATTTACTAAATTTTGTTTACATTAAATTTTGTTAATTCAATAAATATTAAAAGTACAATGTTTGTTTTTAAAATATTGCCTTAGATTCACATCTGTCAGTTCAAGGTCAAAGACTATGACGAACGAAAGCAAATGACTCAATCATCAGATTAAAAATTACAAATTGCACGCAATAATCAAATAAAAGGTCACCTTTAGAATTACATATATGGAATATTCTTCTGTTTAATATCGTAATAGGAATTTTACACATGTATATTAAAATTATTTATTCATAGACCCAATCTACAGCAGCTGGCTTCCATGTTACGAGTTCCTTTTCGTTGAACCATAAGGCAATTTCTTTTTCAGCAGATTCAACAGCGTCAGAACCGTGAATAATGTTGCGGCCAACCTGAATGCAGAAATCTCCGCGAATTGTTCCTGGCAATGAATCAGCTGGATTGGTGGCACCGAGCATTTGGCGACCGGTTTTAACAACATTTAAACCCTCCCACACCATGGGAACCACAGGGCCAGAGCTCATATAGTTGACCAAACCGGGGAAGAAGGGGCGAGCCGACAAATCAGCATAGTGCTTCTCCAACAAATCTTTGGAAGCCTAAAACAAAAACAAAGAGATAATCATTATTTTACATTTTGCCGCATGGCATTCACATATCTCAACATAACCTCAATTTACTCATTGTAACAGGTTATGTGGCATTTTCTCACTGGAAATGTTCCAATCGACTTTATTCCACTTAATTTGATTAGGGTGGTTTTTTTTTGTTGTAACTTACCCACATAAATTTCATGGCTACCAATTTGAAGCCTTTTTGTTCAAATCGTTCGATGATTTTGCCAACAAGTCCACGTTGGACGCCATCAGGCTTAACCATGATAAAAGTGCGCTCCTTATTTGCTGCCATTGCGTACGAGAACAACGAAAAGAATGCTAGCAGTGTACCAATCATTGCCACTTTTTTGCGAAACATTGTAAGAGAGAGAAAGGAAAAATGTGACAAGTAACTCAGCCATTTTGTTGTTGTGAACCACTAATTATATGGTCGCCGGCTAATTTACAGAGTTGCATTTTGTTATCATTTGTATGCTTCGTTTTCATGGAATATCTACAAGAACATGATAGGTAAATTTGTAGGCTTTGTTGCTTTATTAATCTACAATATTAAATAAAACTCCTTCAAACCATACTATGTATGTTTAATATGTAAAAAATAGATAGAGCTATGTTATAATTTTAAAACAATTAAATTGTAGTAGGAATTACCTATTAAGTCGTTACATTATTATAAAGAGACTCAAATTCAATATAATCAATAAAATTTAAATTTATTTACTTCCCTCACCTATAAACTCAATATACATTTTTACTATTAATTTGTAATATTAAAATTGTTAAATAATTTATTGGACAATATTTTGTTATATTCATTTCATTATAATGATGTATTACTAATGTTAATATAATTCAATTTTACATAGCGAATTATTCTATATAGAAATGTTAAAATGTTTACAAATATAGTTGATAGTATTTTTTGAGTATAGTTGAAGCTTTTAAAAATAAAATAAGATTCATTCTATATTTGGCTAGTCCTTCCTCTATATTATTATTATGAAGCAGAAATTGTATATACGGATTTTCAGAAATGCTTTCGAAATACTGTATATTATACGTAAAATGATATCAATAAAATAAATTGTAAGATATCGAAAAGTTTAACACAATTAATTACAATATATCTATTTATGCATTTTTACCATTTTTAAAAATAAATGTATCATGCCTTTGACTAAATTTTTGTAGTTAATAAATATAAGTCGTTTGCGTATCACTTTAAAATTTATTAATTCTGAAAAACATATAAGTTTGAATATAATCACATAGTTCATAGGCCTTTTAAATATATATAAATATAAACTTGTAATAAAAACATTAAAATTTTATTAATATAAAATTAGTGAATATCAGTAACAAAATACACACTTTTATATCAAAGTTTATATATACAAATACAGCACATTTTTTTGTTATAAACCATATCTTATTTTTGAAACTTTGTTAAACCATCAGCATATTGAAACTCGGGACTATTTTCATAGTCGCACATATCTAATGCAATTTCACAGCTTTCTTTAACCACACGGCGATCGTCATCGGCATAACAACGCAATATGCTCGAACACTCTTCTGTGGCAATGGCACCCAATGCTTCTGCACATTCATGACGTACCATTTCATTTTCCAAATTATCCTCTAGATTTGCTTTTAAGAAAGGAATACTTGAAGGTTCTTGTAGTTGTCCTAGAACAAAAGCCACTTCATGACGGAATAAAGCAGATGCATCCTTAAGGCCTTCAGCAATGGCAAGCACGCTTTCCTCAGTACGCAAATTGCGTAAACTAAACATAGCTCGATAACGTTCAAATAATGAGTGGTTTGGATCCAGATATATTGTTTTAAGTTCCGAAACAGTTTTCGTATTATCAGCCGGTGGCGAGGGATCAACAGATGCGTACGGATTATTATCTAATACTTTTTGCCCACTTTGCACCCATCGCACACGATCGAGCGCTATTGTGCATGTTTCTGCTACTTCTACCACTGGATCATTTTTATATTGTTCTAAAATTTGTATTACTTCAGGTGTACCAATTGCTCCAAGTGCTTCCCCAGCCTCATGTCGTACCATAGGTTCTTGACTTTTATCCTCTAACACCTTTGTTAATATTTGTATTGCGTTTTTATCCTGCATTTGCCCTAAACAATAGGCCAATTCATGTTTTAGCAAAGCAGACTCATCAACAAAGGCTCGACTGATTTCAGTGATGGCATCTGTGCCGCCAATGTTTTTTAAAGTAAATAATGCGCGAAAACGTTCTTTAAGTGGTCGCTCCTTATTGTTTAAAACATTACCAATTGATTTTATTTGTTCTTGTGTAACCATTTTAAAAATTAATATTTGAAAAACAATATTCTTTTCTTTACGAGTAGTCACGTTTTGCAATGTTTACAATTAGTAATCAGTTATTTGTCTTTGCTTGTTATTCGCAGCGCAATGACAATTAAAAATTGCATCAAACGTAGTAAATTCTGGGATATCTGACTAAATTTGTTGACGAAAAAGTAGTATACTACTACAATTAAAAAATTTAAAATTTTAATTAATTTTATTTAATTAATTTTATTGTTTAAAAATAAACACGCATGTAAGGATAAGTAAGTTTTATTATTTGTCACTCTATATCATTTCAATACAGAATTTGAAAACTTAATACATTAGAAAGAAGTATCTGTTATGAATTGTATTGTACATTGTATTGTATTGTAATAATAACATAAGTTAATTGCACAAAGTATTTAAGGGACAACCCTTTTTATTGCAGTATCTTAGAGCTAACTTAAAAAAATAAGATAAGAAATTAAATAAAAAAAAAGAAGCCATTAATATAATTAGTGAATAGCATAATAATAACTTACGTAAAAAACATTAGAATTATATGTATTCAACAGCAAAACAAAAATAAAACAAATTTAATTATTTAAATAACAGACTTTCAGTTAATATAAAGAAAGTTACAATAAACTTAATTATATAACAACAAGTTTAATTTGTTCACATTTTTAAGGTTCTAATAAAAATACTAATGTTTTAAGTTTGTATATTGGTGTATTATAAATTCAACTGTTAAAATATTAATGTTTTGGTTATTACAAGGCTTACTAGTGTAATTTAAGCACTGTCTAGAAAGGACCATATACCATATTAGTACATATTCACAGACAAAAATATTGTTTTATAATTACTTGTCTGATTTGAATTATGTTTTTATTAATTTTTTATTAATTTTTTTTTACAAATAATACCATATAAAAATTTATTAACAATTACTTTTGATATGAAAAAAAATTAACCATCCAACACTCAGGTTTACTGCACAGATTATAACAAGAAAAAATGTGTAAAATAATTAAATATTTATTTTGTTAAAACATGTTAATAAATAATTTTTTAATAATTATAATATTTAAAATTTTATTAACAATTACATTTGATATATATATAAAAAAAAGGAGTCATTAAACACGCACAGATTATAATAAGAAAAAAAATATATATATAACGTACTTCTAAATAATATTTTGATAATTATAATAACATTCAAAATTTATTGATATTGATAATTATAACATTTGATAAAAAAAAATAAGGTATCGAACGAAAGCATATAAACAAGATATATTATAACAAGAAATATAATGTTAAAATAATTAAATGTTTATTTTGTCAAGAAATATAAATAATTTTTTTAAAATTACAACATTTAAATTTAATTATCATTTAAATTTAATTATTAACTTAATTATCAGTTACATTTGATATAAACAAAATAGGTGATCCAACACGCAGGTTTATTGTAAAGATTATAACAAGAAAAAATGTGTAAAATAATTAAATATGTATTTTGTTAGGTTTTTGAACATATATTTCTAATAATAGCATTTAATGAACCAATTTCCATTAATTATCCGCTGTAAAGACAGCATGATGAAAAGTGTATGTAACTAGTAAAGTAGCAACGAGTCTCACTTCCTTTATTGAAACTCTGGTAAAATCGTGTAGTTTCGTATTTGTCAACGAAGTTAGACGGGAAAGTGGCATCGAGCTCTTTACCAAGATAAAATTATTAAAGTTTAGTTTTTGTTTTATAGTAAAGTAAATTATTTAATATTGAATACAAATAAAGAGGATTAAACTGTAATTAGTACATTGAATAAAGTGTTTATAGAAAGCAGCTATTGAAAACAGTGGAAAATTTCATTTAGGGTTTCTGTGTATGTGTGATTTCACATTATTGCAAAACAAAAGCAGTTTAAATAGTATTTTTTGACAAAAATAGTCATATAAAATGTCGGAAATAAAAAAAATTAATGAAGCGAAAGAAGATAACACCAATGTAAAAGATATTGGTCGTAATGAAGATGTAATTGGTGATGATGCAAACAGTAGCGTTTCTGAAAATTTACTGAAACCGCCGGAATACTTATCTCCAACCATGGAGAAAAAAACACCAGTAAGAATTTTTTTTTTCTAAATTTATTTCTTTAAATATATTAATTATAGATAAACATGTTCAATTTTCATGGTAATAATGAGTAGAAGATTCTAGCATCTATGCAATGAATCTAATAAAATACATACAAAATTCGTGTACCGTGAGTTATGCTTTGCCCTTGTGCGCGCGTTTTTCTTCAAAATTCCCTTTCCTTCATTCCCCTTTGTTCTGTTTTAAAACTCTGTTGCTTTGTTGCTCTATTGGTGTCCGTGTCGGTGTCGGTATCGGTAGCGGTAGTGCTGCTATGATATTTATTTCGTTGGTAATGCACGTTGCCAGATAATTTGTTTTCGTTGAGTTATTATCATGTTTCGTTGCGTTGCGTTTTGTTTTTATTTTTGTTTTGTTCGTTTTATTTTGTTTGAATATGTTGCGCCAATTTCTTGTGTTTATGTATTCTGAATCCGAAGACTTTGTACGTTAACTTGAAAATAGTGCGCTTGGGTTCTATGTGTTCTCTAATAGCGAACCCGCAAAGCGAAGCATACTTTGTAACGGCGATATATTTTACTTTTATTATTTTACGTGGCTATCAAATTAAATGATAAGTAGGTGGTTTAGCGTCAGTGGGGGGAAAAATATATTTGTTTGCTCATTTCAGGGAATTTGTTTGATTTCCGCTTGTAGTTCCAACGTTCGCAAAGGCGATGAGGTGGAATTACATGTGTTGAAATAATAACAATTTGCAGTCCTCAATCAGAACTAAATATTAGATTTATTATTAATTTTGTTATTATTGTTGAAATAATAATAATTTGCAGAATCCTTAATCAACAGTAAATAATAGATTTATTTATAATATTGCTATTAGCCGTAGTTATAAGAACTTTTTTGTAATGTCAATAAATATAAGACAGGTTCTCCGAAGACTCTTCAAAGTGTCATGGTACATCCGCACGAATGACATTTTAAGCGACTTTAGATTAGATTCGGTCAAAAAATATATAAGGGATAGAGCCCTGAAGTTATATGCGAAAAGCGACAGGCTGCGCTACTTAATACTGTCTAATCACAGAGTAATCAGTAACCGCACTGGGCGGTATGCAGATCTTAGATCAGTCATTGAATAATCATGAAGTTTATGAGGAATATACAAATTAATCAGTGAGATGGGTGGGACTCTGCAGAAACCTCCCAGCTATTAAAAAGTAAAAGTTCCCAGATGCGCTAACTCGGGAAAGTCTCAACATAGGGTCAATACATATACATGATATTCATTGTGTAGAGTTTATAAAACTATTCTATGACCTAAACTAATCTAGTATTATTTCTATTATTTCAGGTTAAACGTACTCCTTCAAAGCGTAGGTCTTTCGTAGAACGTGCTCAAAAAGAAAGTGAAGAGTTAGTACGTAACATGGGTGGGTCATTAGAGTTAGAAGGAGGTCGTCGTACACGTTCTAGTTCACGCGGTACTCCCACTCATATAACACCACCACCAATTAAAAAAGCAAAGGTTTCACCAGCTACTCCAAAAACACCAGGACGAGGACGTGGTCGAAAACTGAATGTATCTACTAATTCTGCAGAAGAAGAGGAGAATATAGAGAAGAATAAAAAAAAACCTAAAGATGTAAGTTTCATTTGCATTTGATACGTAAAATAGAATTATTCTAGAAAGTATTTATCATTTTAGGATGCAGAAAAAAATGTTGAAAAAGAAGAAAATATTGTAGATTTAGATGAAACTGAAGCTGTAAAAGTTGATAAAGATATAAAAACAACCGTTGCTGATGAACCTATAGATGAGCCAATTGAAGAGTGTACGATTGATGCAGTTGACTCTAAGAATTCACAAGAAAAAAATGATAATAACCACATCCCCGTTAACGCAAATCAGCGAAAGGAAACAATTGCAGCGGAAATACCTATGGAAGTAGATGAATCTAGCATTCTAATATCTGAAGAGGTATCTGTTGCTGAAATCAAAAGTACAAAATCAGAGGTAGAATCAACTGTATTAGAAAAGAAGATCGTAGTTTCCGTAGAGTCTGACGAAAAATTGGAACAACCTATATTAGAATCAGCTGATGTGCTGGTAAAGGAAACAAATCCAGTTCCAGTTTCAGTTGTAGAAAAAGAACATACGCCTGAACCGTCAGGTGCGAAGGAAAAGGAACCCTCGCCGGAACCAATAGTAACTGAAAAGGAGTCTATTGCAGATGCCATCGATGAAGTAGTAGAAACAGAATCATCACCGAAACCAGTTGCTGAATTAGTAACAAAACAACCGACACCTGAACCTATGGATACCGACGCTGAACCAATGGAAACGGATGACCAACAAACATCTAAGCTCGAGCAATTGACCAATATCGAGCGAGAGCTGGAGTCAAGCGATCACACAAATACTGAATCAATTACAGAAGAAGCTGAAGTAAATGCTGTATCTGTTGAAAGTATGAATATTCAAGGAGCAGCTGAAGAGAGTGCAGATACGGTTTCTGAGGAAGAGTGTACACCAGTTATAACTGAAGAGAGCTCAACAGCTGTAACTGCAGAAAGTTTAAAAGCTGTTAATGAACAAAAACTACCTTACGTTACTGAAGAGAGTACATCAAGTGCAGCTGAGGAAAGCGCTTCTAAAACTATTACATCAGTTGTGATAGAAGATGTTACTGAAGTCGAGGAGAACAACGGATGTCAAGTGGTTGCCCCTGACACAACTACAAAAACTGTACCTGCAGAAGTAACATTAGCACAAACAAAAGCGCAAGTGACAGTTGAAAATGATGTTAGTATGGAACCTGCAGAAAACACTAAATCGGCTATCATAACTGAAGAAGGAGAAGAAGCAGTGCTTATAAATAATGATAAGTCAGATAATGCCGATTGTAATAAATCTGCACAAATTGCTACCCAAGATAACTGTAAGTGGTTGCACCAGTAAGTGCTTTAAGCTGAAGTAGTTTCTTTGATGCTATCTAACATTTTTCTTAATCTTAATATTAGTGATTTGTTTTAAATATTCCTTTTTAATTATTTTTTTTTAACATTTTAAATTATGCCAATACTAATACCACATTTTTGTTAATGTTGTTTGTAGAGTTTATAAATCACCAATTCTTTTACATAATAATATGTTGTATTATTAAAAATATATATTATTTTCTTGTTGTGGTTTTTGCCATATTTTGAATATGTTTTATTATAATTTATATAAGATATTTAATTATAATGGAATAATTTACTGTTTAAAAGTTTCTGTATTGTAATTCTGCTTCAGAACCTTAAAAAAATTTGCTTATAAAAAATTATTAGTTTTTTGTTTAAAATTATGCCAGGTTTTGGTTTATTATAGATTATTTTTGTATACCCTATTGTCTGCTTTTTAATAAATGTGCAAACAATATTAATTTAAAAGAAAGGTCTAAATAGAAAGCAAATAAAAATATATATTTTTTTTATTTTTATTAATTACATTTTCTTCCTTTGCAATATTTCGCCATATATTAATCGTCAGTGCGCTTTGGAAATATTTGTTAGTCTGCATAATATTTTGAGACTAAAGTGCCAGGATGCAAATATTTCCAAAAATCACGGAAGATGATTATTTCGCGAAATTCGAAACAAGTAAATATATAATACCATTTCCGATTAATTTCAATTAAAAAATATAAGATATACATATTAAAATGTTCCATATAAATGATATATTAATATATATATATATTATTAAAATATATGTATTATATATATATTATTAAAATATATATATTATATGTATATTATTAAAAAATATATTTATAAAATATATAAAAAATATATATAAGATATAATAATATATATATATATAATATATAAAAATATATATATAATTTATAAAAATATATACATATAATTTATAAATATATATATATATATATATATAATGTACAAAAATATATCTTATCTTATCTGTAAATATATAATGATATTTATATATATAATATAAAATATATATATATATATAATATAAAATATATATATATATATAATATAAAATATATATATATATAAAAGGTTTGAGAGATTTATATGATTTTTTCTCTTACATTTATAATTTATTAGCTTTTATTTTTTTTTATTGCTATATTTATTAGCTTTAGTACATTATTATTTTAGTTTGAAATCTTTCAATCTATTATCTTCGACATTAATATTTCTGTTTAATTAATTTTTCTAATTATGTTATGAAAAACATAAACCAAAATTTTTGCAAAATTTCTATTTGCCTATTTATTAAATATTATTATATTTATTTAATTATTTAATATTATTATTAATTTATTAATATTTCAGAACAGATGTATATTCCTTAAGAATAATAATTATAATATTAATTTCAATTTTTAAAAATATCTTAATTTAAAATTTATTTGTATTCGGCATATATTAATTGTTTTTAGTTGCTAATTACTTTTATTTATTTTTTCAGGTGAACCGAAGGTTGTATCCCAAACTATAATTGAGGGTAATGATGAAGTGGCATCAACGCCGCAATTATGCAATTAGAATCAGTCAAACATATACTTCAATATATGTCCAAAACGTTCCCGCCTACAAAATATATATACACAATTTTACAATTGATCTTGCAAAATTTTAAAGAATTAAAGAATCAGTTATCAGTTATCAGTTATGATACATATGACATTTTCACTTGTAATTGAATCAGTTTCTAAGAAAAAATAATTATTTAAATGTATTTTAAACATTAATTCGATATTGTTATACAATAAAAGATGAATGTGTAATTAATAAATGGAACATAATATTGAAAGCATAAAGAAATTTAAACATCAACAATCATATTGTTTAATTATATAAAATAAACAATGTAAATGTAAAAACTTTAAAAAATAATTTTTTATAAATTTAAACATTTATATATATATATATATATATATATACATATATAAATATATACACATTAAAATTAGAATTGAAAATGTTAACAAATAGCAATATAAATTAGTTGTAGATTAATTGTAAAATTACTTAACATCAAAATTAATAAAGAATAACTTTTTATTATTTGCCATGCTGTTAAATTATTTTTCAGCTGTATTTAAAATTATAACACTCCTCTTATTTTATGTATGTGTTGAAAAATTATATAAAAGAATAAAAAAAAATTAATGATTAAATTATTTTAATCAGTTGACCCAGAGTAATTTATCTAGTTCTTAATTTTAGGTTATACTAAAGCCCTAACATGTATCTAAATTCTCCACTTTACTTAGTATGTAACAACTAGTTACTGCTAGAATCTTACATATTATTTATAAAAATTATATATAAAAAATTGGTTTTGTAAATTTGTCTGCGTTTATATATATTAAGTTTAAATCATTTTAAAATATGTATGTATGCTGCGAATTGTATATGATTTTAAATTAAAGTCAAATAAATATATTGTAATATTTAAATAGCTGTAGAAAGGATATGACAGTTATGTACCCGTAAAAATACTACGTGGGTTTATTTAAACTTATGGTAAATATACATATATATTGCAAATTAAAAAATTTATTTTGTTAGAAAAGTAAAATATTAGTAATTTCACAGGAATAAATTTTCAATCATAGAAACCAATGTTAAAGTTAAAATCCTTCTGAAATTATTCTATTATATAAAAAATATTTACGCAACTTTTAATTCTTAAATTTATCAATAATATTTTTTTTTTCAGAAGCTTACATATATTTTTTATATACATTAATATATTTTAAAATTTACTTAAGTCTTAAATCTATTATACTTTGTTAATATACAAATTTTGAGTTCTATAAAATAATAAACATAAATAAAAAAAAAATAAATACGTAAAAAAAAATAAATTCAAGTTTAATATTAAGATGTATACATAATTATAAGTTTACTAGAATTAATACTGTAAGAACTTTTTAAATTTTCTTTTGTAAATAAAATTTTATAACATGCAAAAGGGATAAGAAATATTGCAACTTTTTATTCCAATTTATTTAATTATTAATTAATAATTTATTCTGTGCCACATAAAAATATTTAATTTTAATGATTTTGTCAGTTATTAGGTCGATTTAATTTTTATTAAAAATAAAACGCGCTCGTTTTATTCAATTCTATTCGTGCGAAGAGCGAGGGAAGAGGGAGACTTATTCCTTGAGAGTATTCAGAAAAGAGGTGATTATAAATTTTCGACCATCTTCGATACAATAAATCTATATCGTCTTTTTAGCTATGGAGGGTTTATAATTTAAATGTTTGTTATATGTTTAAAATTTTGGCAAAATTGATATCCAAAAATGTTAAAAGGGTGATGGGTGTGTTAATAGCCAATATTTTACACACATCAAGAAGTAGTAAAAAACGTAGCTTTAACGGTTTAATGGGAACATTGTTTAAATAGTTTTTTTTTCTTTAAATCGATCTAAATGTCTTCTAATTCTTACCTAAATGTACTAGGTAACATGAGAGGAATTACAAAACGAATATATGAGTTATGAAGTGATTGGATGAAGATTGAGGCGACCTTTAAAATAATGAGGGTGCGGGTGAGTGTTAATAGAACTAGCCTGAATCGATGTGAAGGAACTTGGCCACTTTAAAAGGTCGGAGCCATAGATTATTAGAGTTCAATTGGGTGCTAGGGAATGAGAACAAATCGGCGACGTTTTGATGAGTGGAATTCCAATTTGCGCAAACATTGGGAGTTGTATTTAAGCGGAAATTTGTTGCTATCACTAAATAAGAGGCCACAAGGGAAAGGTATGTATTACTTTTATTGAAAAATATTCTGGGATCTGGTCCGTCCAGGAGTTTGAAAATATACAGGTGGAAGAGTATCGATGAAAGAAGACTGCCTTGAGGGCATCCGGTTTAAGTTTCTTGCTTTTGCGCCTTACCTTTAAAATTAACGTGAAATGATCTGTTCAGCAGATAACTACAATTGATTCTGAGTTAGATGTTTAAGCCAAGTCATTTAGAAAGATGGTATAGGAGATTGTTTTGAACACCTTTGTGAAATCGATGCCATTGGAGATCTGAGATGTATCTGATAATATGACTTTTATGAAAATTATGTTGATGAGGAGCAAAGTGAAGGCAAACATTTATGGTTTGTATACTCTTTTACTACCTACCTGTGAAAATTTTTAACACTATGACGTCCAAATAATTGTCATAAGACGTATCTCTATGTGGTCTCTTGCAGTGCAACAGGTTGACTCTTCGTCTATTACAGTTGACCTATAAAATTTGCACAGGGGATGTTGTGTTGATTATAGACAACACGCTTAAACTATTGAAAACTATTGGTGTTCGTTTGAATGTGTCCAACAAATTAACACATATCTTTTTTAAGTGGTTGTATACTCTCTTAACCGTCGACTATGTCTACTTCAATCTTTAAATTCATAATCCGTATAGCCTTTAAATTCAAAACTTTGGATAATTCTATGGATAAAATAATAGCATGCGCCAAAATGTTGTGCACTCGTTTGAAAAATCGCAATAATATTCTGAATCGCTTACGGCTGCTTTTGGGGGAAATGAAAAATTTTTGTTTAGTACATATAAGGCAATAAAGTACCTATGGTGCAATTTATTACACAACTTCAGCTCTATGAGATGGTGCAAACAGCTGTCGTCATATATCGTATTCAACCATAAGGAATCAAAGCAGAATTTTAAATGGTTTTTGTAAAATTGCAGATATCAGGTACTTTCTAACCGATTCTTCTTGCGTGCGCTTCAAATGGTACCTAAATAATATATTATCATCCGACGATTCGTTTTATCGTTTTATAAACTATCGATCAACAATTATTGGTATGTAGGAAACATTAACAACATCGACTACTTTTAAATGATGTTAGTCCTACACAGTAATGCAATATCATCTTTGAGGCATCAGCTTAATAGCAATTCGTTTCTAACATACAGCTGTAAACAATAATTTATTATAAACAAATTGGTCTACTTTAGGGGCTTCATTTTCTATAGTTGTTCCACATGCTAAAAACTATTAAATTATTTGTTACACTATCTCTAAATGAATTCCAATAAAATTCAGTTTAAAAATGCATTTGACAGGAATGTTTTCTTTTTATAATGCTAAGTTTCTTATTATATAGCATTGTTACCTATCTTAACAAAACTTACCAGGTTCCCATGGTTTATACCAATGTCATTTTCTCATTCTACTAAGAAAATACCAAATATTTGTTCATTAATGCTAAGATTTTTCAACTTCTTTCGCCCGTGCTATCTTAAAGTATTTTTAATATTTACTTCTTAAGAACGCTTATACTTATCTTTATCATTATTTTTTATTGTTTCCCTGTTCATTTAACAGAACAGGGCAAGTAGAGTTGGAGCTTTTTGAGAAAGTATCTTTAGAAAGAAGTAGAAGCTCATATCCAATACTGATCTCTGGGAACGCACGGAACAAACACAAGCCGCCACTGAAATCAAAAGAAAAAAATGAAAGTGGATTACCCACACTCTCAGCAAAAATTCCTCTTCATAGTAGAGCAATCCCTACGCTGGAATCCACAAGGCAGTCGCCAGCCTAAAGCACAGCTAAGACATGACGAAAAACCGTAGACCAGGACGTACAGTGTTCCTGGAACCAAATCACGAGAGAAGCAAGCAAAAGAATAAGATTAAGAGGAATCGTTGAAGCAACATGCTCCACTTAGGAGAGAAGGATAGCAGTAAGTAAGTAAGTAAGAAGTAAATAATAGGAATCAAAAAATAACCGGTCACTGTAGATTGAATAATCACCTATCGAAGTTAAAAAGTCAATCCAACTCAGACTGCAGATACTGTAGAGAAGAGAGAGAAACTGCATACAGTGGTCGCCACTGATGTACAAGTGGAAGAAACACCTTCGTGGGTATTTCATGATCATAAGGGCCCAAGACTAGAAAAAAATAGTCAATCATTAAAGAAATCGGACTTGGAGACACACTCTAATCCGACTAAGGGGCACAATACATCTTTTAGATCGCAGTGTACTATCCCTTCTTTTCAATAATAATAGGATAATTGGAGAAGTAAAATATAACATTTCTTGATTCCTATTTGTATATATGTATATTCTTAAAAAAAAATTATTCGTTCTAATTTTTGTATTATTATGTATTGTACTGTATTCACATTAGTTTTACTTTTAGTTTAAATTAAAAGATTTAAGTAGTATTGTTTCCGAATGAGCTGAGTTCAAGAAAAAATATGATTAAATTTTGATCATTTACAGGAGTTTTGATTTAAGATTAACAAAATCACATTTTAATAACAAAATATTAAATATAAAATATTGTAGAATGATTGAAATTGCGCTAACAAATACTATCTTATTTTTCACGATTTATAATTTTGGGATAAACTTTAGATTCCCCTTCTTTCAATGGCACTGCAGCTTCGCTATCTTCCACATCTGCCGGTTTGGTTTTTTTCCCTATGAATTTTCTCATGATAGGGGCATATAATTTTAAATTTTGTGTTTCTCCTTCACGTATTTTCCAAACGTAGCTTAAGGGAATCGCCACTAACCAAATTATTAAACCTCCAATAACTGCAAAACAAACTATATTAAATTTTGTTTCAATATTATTGAGATATATAAATAATATATACCTTTATACCAATAGAAAGCTATTTCGTATATGGAAAATTCTCTGTTGCTACTGAAAGCATTTGTGACGAGTGGAACTTCGGTTGTTGTTGCAGAAAAATGTTGTATTGAAGAGGTTGTAGTTCTGGAAAAAATAAATAATAATATTTTATTAAATATAAAATAAAAAAATAAATAATAATATTTTATTATTTATTTTTATAATATTTTTCAAGAAAAAAATATATAACAAAAGAATCGCGATTAAAATTGTGTTAAAAATTTAGTTTAATAAAGATAAGCATTATTTATCTGTAATATTTTTAGTACCTATATTAGCAAAATAAAGATGTCATTTTCACTTCAAGTTTACATAATTTTTAACATATAATTAATATATAATATTAAATAAATTAATAAATTGATTAATTATTTATTAAAATTAATATGTTAATATATCATAATTTATTATAATAATATATATAATATATTCCCTCACTATTTATACCTACACTGATTTAATCACATCATTTAAATCTTGAGCATCGCATTTGTCTATTGTCGTAGAAAGGGGAATATAATCAATAATTCCCGCTTTTAAACGTATTTGACCCTGTAAAATTATCCACAACATGGTACCGACACTTGTGATGATAGCGATAAAGGCGACCTTTAAAATAAAAGATTTTATTCTGAATAGACAAATAATACGATACGAAAAAATTACTTTTCCATTTACTCTGGGCACAAAGACGCCCAAAAAAAAGATTCCCACTATGGCTCCACTCCCTATGCCAGCGACAGTCGATATTAATTGCATAATAGAATTAAAATTTTGTACAATAAATCCACCAAGAACACAATAAATTCCCATTAATACGACTAGAACTTTCATAATAGCATTAGCCTTCGCATCTGTATGAACTACAAATGGTTTAATGTAATCGAAATAACATACACCCGCGATAGAGTTTAGTACAGCGGACAAACTGCTTAGTGCAGCACTAAAGATCGAAGATATGAAAATTCCTGGCATTCCCTTTAAGTGTCCAATCACATCCTGTATAAAGAGTGGTACTAATTTATCTGATTTGCTAACAACCTGAAATATAAAAATAATATAATTATATTTTACTTTAAGGAACTGCCAATGTTTGCACACAATTTAATAAAACTTACTCCGCCCAAAACAGGATCACAGCCATGAAAACGTGCATACATGGCAATACCAATTAACACATTAAAGATCATAGCTACAAAAACTCCAATAGTTGTTATATGAACGGCTCTATTGTTGTTAATATTGAGTAAACAAAAAATTCAAATTATTTTAAAACTATGACGAAGTTTATAGATCTGTTTCACTACCTACTCGTAGTAACTTTGAGTAAATTGTGTAAACACAAGTGCTTTCCACCACCAAATTTTTGAGGAAATGAGAGCATCTGCGAAAGCGTAACATCCCTGTCGAAATTAAAAAAATGCTACAGAGACTTTACTCGGACATTTTATTTCAAGTAGAATTTGTGTGATATGTGAGTCAGCTGTTTTGATTTGAAATTAAATTTCTGTGTTGTTTATTTGCGCAGCACTGGTGCTCTCACCAGACATAATTTGGCACTTTATTTGTGTTACGCTTCAGTTTGTGCTTTACTTGTGTTTTACTTAAGTTTCACTACGAGTAGCTCGTGGAACAGACCTTATATGCGTTTTAAAGATGGCAGTGCTTTATATAAACATAAAATGGATTCTCAATTCAAACTTAAAACATGGCCTTTTATTGTAAAAGTAACTTTGAAGATACAATATTAAATATATTTGGTAGGTATTTTCAAATGATATATATGAATAAACTTTGAATACAAAAAACGACTTTTTGATAAAATCGGTTATAAATGTTTAAAAAAAATAATAATCCTAATTTTATCTATTTTTAGGTGCAAGCATCCTTTGCTTGTTTTAAAAATTAATAATTTTTCTTCACATAAAAGGTATTTTCATTTTTCACAGAGCTCTCATATATTCAGTTCCGATATTGTAAGTTTTAAAGCAAATATATTCTGAATTTTACTTTTGATTTAAATGGAAATACTTGTAAAAAATTTGTTGAATACTTTAAGATTAACTATTTTGGTTTTTTATTATTTAGAATTCTTTGTTATTTTTATAAATTTTTATTTGTAACTATAGTTGATAGCAATTGATCAACTAATCCAGTACAACACAATTAAGTTAATTTTGGCTATAAAATAATTAATAATCTTCTGAAATATTTAAATTTATTATAATTGTAGGAATAAATTGAATTTTTTAACTCCGTCATATTTTAATACATTTTATGTCATTCTCGCGCCAATTAAATTAATAAAATATAATTATTACCTTTTAGCATTTTTAACTGTTGGCATGGAAACAAGCCGCTGTACACAACTTTGATTTAGCCCAATATAACTTATCCAAACAAACATGCCGCTAAATAATCCATTCCAAACGGTGGTGCGCACACGTGGATCCAATGAAAAACTATATTACATACATATTATTAGATATATTTTTATACATTATTTACTTGAAATTTATTTGTACTTAAAATTTAAGCGTCCCCCTTCGTATGCATTCGTCATCACCGCATTGAAGCCGCCCAGTTTAAAAGTGCTTACAAGGCCAACTGCTACCATGGATATGAACATTATTAGTGCCTGCACTACATCGGTCCAGACAACTGCTTTAATGCCACCCTAGTTTTTATGATGCAATGTTATATGTCGTATTTTACTTTCTATTTTGTTTTTATTTATTATCTATTTACCAACATTGTGTAGAAAATGCAAATAGAGGTGACAATTGCATTAATTAGATGAATATTTAATCCGGAAACTGTAATGAAAATCTTTTATTCCATCAATGAGTATGCAGTGATATTTTATAGAAGATCAATAACCTTGTGAAAGCGCTAATGAAGGTAGAAATAAATGTACAGGTATTAGGAGTAGGGAATGCAATAAAAACGTAATTGTTATAATTTGACGAACGCGTTTATTGAATCGCATCTCAAGATACTGAAATTTTAAGATACATTAAAAATAATTATTATATATATTTTAAATAATTTAATATAGTTTTTATTTTAAACTTAATTTACTTCATAACAGCTGTGTACATTATTTTCATAAAAAACTGGTATAATTGTACTGTTCATTATTGGTCCAGTCAAAATAACAGCTCCAAGCAAAAGACTGAAACTGATACCTGTGAGTTAAATTAAGTTAGGCAATTACTAACTAATTAGGATATTTTATGTTTATTAAAGAAATTAATTAAAAATTACATATAAGCTATATGGCATATACATATAACTTTTGTATATAATTAAAATATGTAAATTGTACTAAAAAACAAACCGTAAGAATATATTTCGGATGGTACTGTAACAATGGCTACCGCTGAAAGTTGGCTGAAAAAATAATACACTTTAATTAAGTTAATTAGTTTTTTATTTCTTATGTTTAAAAATATTATAATCTCATGTTTTATAAAATGTTATATGTATTTAGTTTCCTTTCTGTTATGATATTGGTAACAGGGACCGAAAATAAAAATTATAAAAAAGTTATTTAAACTTATAGTTAAGTATATAGTTATCATTCTAACAACTTTAATTCTTAATATTATACATGCTACTCGAATTTATATATGAGCATTTTAAAACAAAACTCAAAAAGTAATAATTATATTTGTTTTATATTATATTTATTAAAAATAATTATTAACATATTAACCTTTTATTTTTTCACGCAAAAATAACTCTTACTCTGCTTTTTATTTTTATTCGCAGAAATACATGATAATAATTATTTTTGATAAATGTAATATAAAGCAAATTTAATTATTATTCTTTAAGTTTTATTTTAAAATGGAAATCATAACAGTTATAAGGTGATTTTGATTTTTTTTAATCATAACTGTTACGTTACCTGATTGGAATGAACATTAACAACGATATAGCAAAAGACTGACTTGATTATCAATGGAAATCAATACAAATATCCGAATTATTTATGTATAATGTAGTGAAACTATTATATTATTACTAATATATTATTTATAATTTCTAAACAGTTATTAAAAAGTTTGATCAACAAATCATTAATATTTAAAATGCAGTAAAAAATTGAACAAAATAACTTAACAATTACACATTCATTGCATAATTTTCACATAAATAACAAATGCTATGGAACTGGTTTTTGATGAGTTTATATATAAACAGTTAATTAATTAATAAAATTCATTAAAATTAACATATTTCTATTTTTGCAATTGTTGTTTAATAATTCATTACAATTTCTTTTTATATTGTAATTCTTTTTAAAAAATGTTTTACAATACTTTTGAAGGTATTAAATATGATATTTAATTTATTTTCAAATAAACTATAAATAAATTTATAGATTTATTATTTATTTATTATTTTATTTATTATTATTTATCATTTATTATTATAAATTAACTAACCTAGTTATAATTGAGATAGCAATTGGCCATGTTTTCATTTGTTTATTTCCCATCAAATATTCATCTGTTGTATTTTTGGATTTAGAAAAGAAGCCGAAATAAACTCCGATCGACGCAGAAACTAACAACAACAGTACGAACAAAAAGTAGTCGACTGTACCGAATGTAATGCCAGAGATGATATTCGAAGCGGTGTTCATTGTTGTTGATTGATTAATAAAAGTTGTTATGTTTGCTGTTGCGCTAGACATTTTTTAAAGTCGCATTAAATAATTAAAAGGGTTTTTTTTTTGATATATTTTGTTATTAATTATTTCACTGAAGCACCTTTTTCACCAATTAAATGTACTACCGTAAATGTTTAAATACTTTAAAATTATTTCGTTTATAGGTTATATAGGTTTATAGTTTAACCAACATATTAATTAATTTTTTAATTTTTTATTAGATTTTTTTTAAATCATCACAAATAATTTTTATATATATCTCAGTAATAATTTCATTATATACAATAGTTTTACTAAATGATACACTTAAATGATATAATAAAAAATTGTGGACATTAATTACATATACTCGTCCGTTCGTATTTTGTTATTATAACAATATATATTATTATATTTTAAAAAATGTGAAATTAGTTGGATTTAGTTTGAGTTGTCCGCGTTGCAATTACAATGAACCGTGAAATTGTTCTCAGCAGAAAAACCGATATATTCAACTTAAATACTATAAATTTATTTCGAATAAATGATAATATTTTTCTCGATACTTAAATTATTCCTAATCGAGAATAACACGAGTTAAATGTTATAATGTTATTTTATGTTAATTTAAATGTTTTTTATGAGCGCAAGATAAAAACGTGACGTCTATCTGGTTATAAGCTTAGTTTAGAAGTAAAATCAAAGTTTCAATATTGAGAATTAAATTATCCAAAGTTTTTTTAAAAAAATGAATGATTAAGTACTGATGTTTTACTGTAGGAATTTATTTTACTACATCAGGATACAAAAACTGTAGGCGTTACTGTCATCGAAATAAGTTAGGCAGAAAAATGATTTAGGTGACATGATATGCAGAAAATTTAAATAATTATCTCTTCCAATTGACCTATTAATTGTTTTTATCAGTTTTAATATTAAAGTTTAAATAATTTTAATCAATTAATGTTTGTTTGTTGGGTTGTATGATAAATTTTCTCACAAAAAAACTTGAAAAGTGAAATTTTCTATTATTAACTTATATAAATGTACTTTAAATAACATATTATACTAAAAATAGTATATATACTCTATACTATGAGTATAAGCTTATAATCTTTTTATAAATATATATAAATTTGTCTCTGTGCGAGGAAATAGCGATTAAATACGTTTTTTATTTGAGCTGTTCAAAGGTTCGACTATATTAATATTGAGGCTCATGCATGAGTCTTTGATTCGAATAAAACGATTTTCTTAAAAATGTTCGAACATCATATTGTTCTTATCAAAAAACAAAATATTTAAAATATATGTAAATAAAAATATAAACATATATCAGAACAAAAAACCAAAAATGACAAACATTATTGTCTATAGAGAAGTTTGTCTCTAGGCAATTTGGTTGTCTCTTTTAATGTTTGACAGTTTTAACATTTAAACTTATTAAGTCAAGAACAAATACAAAAATCAGAAAAATTATTGAAATTAAACAAAATAAAAGCAAACAAAACAAAAGTAATTGAACAAAGAATTGAAGAGACAATTTAATTTTAATTTTTTAGTTATATGTTAAACTTCATTTTTCTCTGATTGATCAGAGACCTGTAGGTTAGGTTAGGTTATACAAGCGAACTAAAGGGGATATACTTAGGTCTATTGATCCATTGTGTTAGCGTATAATGGAGAGACTCAGGGTTTAAAACTAACTGGAGTCTTTGGCGAAGCTTAGAATGCTGTTTAGTGGGAGATTTTTAAATTGATCAAGACTAAGAGACCTGTAAATTTGCACAAGGCACTCTGATTATCCGAAATATTAATTATATATAACATTTGCAGCATAAGTCTACGTCTATAATTTGGCTCTTTGTTAATGATCTGTACTTCTTCCAAATTTGGATGCGTCGCTAAATTTGGATTCGTCATTGGGAGTTGATCTGCTCTTTATATTATGCAGATTCTCGTTCTAAGTTGGTTGATGGCATATGTTTGACTCGTCACTTCTAGATGGAATTTTGTATATAACATTGTGCTTATCTAATTTGTCCATTGAAGTTTTCGTTTTATGTCTTATGTTGAACCTTTTCCGAGTTAATGCATTTGGGCACTTTTACTCTGTGATGACTGGGGTGCTTCTGCAAAGTTCCACCCATCTCACTGATTAATTTGAGTATTCCTCATAATCTTCGTGTTTATGCAATGATTAATCAAAGATCTGCGTACCGCTCCGTGCGGTTAGTGATTATTCTGAGATTAGATAGTGCTAAGTAGCGCATCCTGTGGATTTTCGCATATAGCTTCAGAGCTCTGTCCCTTACGTATTTTTTAACCGAATCTTATCTAAGGTCTCTTAGTATGTTACTCGTGCGGATGTACCATGACACTTTGAAGTGCCTTCGGAGAGCCTGACTTTGAGCAACTTGTAGCTTTTGGATTGTAGAGTCGGCAGCTTTGCTATACGCGACACACCCATAAAATAGTGCTGGTCTAATTATCTGGCTATAGATCAGCTTTCTGTTCTTCGCGCTAAGGTTGTTGTGTTTGAAAAATGGTTGTAAGCAGTGTTGTGTTTTTGCGCAACTACTTCTTTTGACATGTATGTGCTTTTGTCAAGTGAACACAAGTGAAAAAATTATGTCAAAGTGTATTCTTGGCTCTGAAAGCTAATGGTCGCACATCTTCATTATGGCACTTGGATTTTTTGAAATTTTCCGAAAACTCAGAGATAGACTTCATTGAAAGGTGAGTTTTTGGCTGGGGGTCGGATTTGGTTTTATGTACTATATTCCCTTGTTTTACAAGAGAATATATCATCCGTTTAGGATTAACATTTTGAAGCAGAATGTTTCTTAATACACGTCTCATCAAATTTAAAGCTGTGTTCCAAATTATATGATGAGGGTGTTGAGAATTAAATTCACTGAACGATATATATAGTGTTTTTATGTTTTTGGATAGCAATTTATTTTTAGTTTATTGTTGTGTTTAATTACTATTGCGCAAACTAATCAAGCTTTTCAGATTCTTCTTCTTCTTTGATAAATTTTATATAGGTTATTTATCGTTTATAGTGTACTATCTATGTTGTTAATTTTTATGACCGCATATATTCCATCTACGTATTTGGTCATAAATCTAGATTTTATAGCTATTTCGTTCATCTCTCTCATTTTGTCTAAAATGTTCTCCATTGCAATACCATAAAGGGTAAGATCGGAGATCCCATGGGAGATCCCATATAAAGTAGCTGTTTAAGAAGGAAGCTTAAAATATCCATAAATATTTCTTTCTTTATATTGCATTCATTTTTTTTTATAAAGGATCACTTATTATCAATTATTCTTAACACATAATTTAAAATATATAGTTTATAAATTGTTACTTAGCTAGGGAAAAAAAAATTATATCGCAGGTTCAACAAAGAACTTTTTCCAAATTATTTCAACTACCATTGTGTATGGTTTTTGTCTCTAGTATCAACCGCATCGTAAGTTCTTGAAGAAAATAGCAACCTTTTCGGCTTACTATTTCTTCTATTAAAGATAAATTAGTAAGATATGTCAATACTAATAAGAACAGTGGAATTTAATCAAAGATGGGAAATATGTGGGAAGTTGGGAAATTTTGCGTGTCGGTACATTTCTTTATAATATTTTTACATTAAAATATTATCGAAATAAAGCAGACGAAAGAAATTGATTAACTAATTAAATTTATTTAGTATTACTCAAATTAAATAGCCATTAGAAGAGAATTGATTATTTCATTTTAGCAATAAAAAATTATATACTATTTCCAATATTGACCGTTTGTAGTTTTGCTTCACGATTCAAGCTTACCAGTATATTATTTTAAGACAGAGAAGAAGACCAAAAACATTTAAGAAGTAAAACCGATGAAAAATACATCAAAGACCAAGTCCTTAAATTGTTTGCTTCTGTGGGTGCTTATGCTAACTTCGCATTATACACGCATTACACACAAGTGCAATCTTTATTTAGTTATTAGATAGATATGCTGAACTTTAAAATTAGCATTTATAAACTCACCTGAAAAAAAAAATATTATATTTGAACGGGATTTTTTTTACAATGGTTCACTCCAGTGATCAAAGTCATTATTGAGTAAATGTGCATTGATTTCATTCACCAAAGTCTAACAGAGCTATGCTTCTACAACTTTTACCATACTCAACGGTTTGAGAATTAGTGATTTTATAAATAGTGCCTACCAAACTGTTTATACAGTTTGTTTGAAAAAGAGCTAAACAACGTGAACGCTAGGAAAAAGCAACAATGCGTGGTTGAGGTATTTGTCCGTTTATGGCCGTGTACGAGTTCGAATATATTGATGGTAAATTGAGGAAAACAGTAAATTATGTCGGTATAGCAGCGAATGTTGGTATTTACCAGAATTTTGATTGGGATAAATTAGATAAAAATTAGGTGTTACCATTGTGAATATTTTATAAGATATTTAAAAAATTAATTAATAAATTTGAAGACTTTTAACCAGAAATAATAAATAATTGCAATAAATAAATATTAACATAAGTGCAGTGTAAAAAATCCCTAGAAAATTTCAATTTACTTTACCTCAATTTACTCCAATTCGCACACGGCCTATGTCAGTGTCTGTTTAAAAGTTTTCACTGTATTTTTTACATTTTTAATTTTTACATATATTTATTGTGATATTATAAATTAAAATAATATAAGTTATTATTAAAAACTAATAAAAAAACAGTTTTTAACTGACGCATTCCATTTTCGATATATAAACAGAAAAAATTATTAAAAAAAAAATAAACGATGGTGTGCATTAAAATATAAAAAATGTGACTTTTTTATTTTCGATTTATGTACGACATTTTAACATACTTCATTTTGATTTTAATAAATATTTTGTGAAAAACAATAATTAAAAAATTCAATATTGTAATATCTATTTAATTTATCTTAAATAATATCAAAATTTAAATTAAAACTTTAAATTTAAAACATTAAATAATTTTAATGTCATATTTAACTTAATAATATAAACTACATTTAAACTTAAACATAATATTAAAAATAACTTAAGTTTATGGCGTTACATTTTAAAAGCTTCTATCTTTTTATAATAAAGGATTTTCTGAGATTTAAGTTAAATTAAAGTTAAGATTTATACGTCTCCGTTGTCTCCATTTTGTAGAAGCTGCTGTGTTTTACTGTCGTTGCCATGTTTAGCGTCGCTTATAATTATTTTTGCATTGTTTTCGCCATTTAAAATTGGAGACTTTAAAGACATTTCTTCCATTTCTGTTGCGTCGCAACTAATAAACTTACGTATAAATGGCGAGAATAGCTTGGGATTAATTTTTTCATGTTTATCCACTTTCCAAAAGTAGCTCAAAGGAATTGCTACAATCCAAATAATTGCAGCACCGACAACTATATAAAATAGTAATTATAATTATATGAATTTGAAATAAAATTTAAGTCAACATTTTCTAAAAATAAATAATAATTCACCTTTATACCAAAAGAAAGAGATTTCAAATATGGAAAATTCTCTATTGCTTGTAAATGCAGTCGTCACTAATGGAGTCGGAGTTACTTCAAAATCTTCAGATAATTTGTTTTTATTGCCATTTTTGGCTCTAAAAAATTTTTTTAAAATAGTTATATGAGTAGTATTTTTTAATTATAGAAGTTAATTTACATTGAGTTAAGCACGAAATTTAAATTTCTTGCTTCACATTGGTCTAATGTAGTTGAAATTGGGCTATATTTTATAGCACCAGATTTTATGCGAAATTGTGCAACTGCTATTATCCAGCACATAATACCAAGACTCATAATAACTGATGTTACAGCAACCTTAGAAAATAATAACATAAGATAATGTTGCATAAATAATATTCAATTTTTGTACATAAATAAATATATCCATTAATTATGATGGAATAATGTGATTATTAAAATGATTTAGTTATGAAAATAATATAAAACAAAAAAAATTATGTATCAAATTTCATTAATTTTCAAAATATAACAAACTATGCATATAGTTTTATAATATTTGTATATTTAATATTATGTATACTGCTTTATAACTTTATGTATATTATAAATATTAAATAAACTCACTTTTCCATTAATTCGTGGTAAAAACATTCCCAGTAAGAATACGCCAACCACAGCACCAGCAGTAATCCCGGCAATGGTCAAAATTAATTGCAAAATAGAATTAAAGTTTTGTACTATAAATCCACCTAAAACACAGTAAATTCCCATGACAATAACAATTATTTTCATTATGAAATTCGCTTTCGCTTCCGTATGATTAATGAAAGGTTTTATATAATCAAAGTAAGTAACCCCAGCCATTGAATTCAGTACAGCGGATAGAGTACTTAGGGAAGCACTAAAAACACAAGACACAAAAATTCCAGGCATGCCTTGTAAGTGACCCAATATCTCTTGCACAAAGAATGGGACCAGCTTATCTGCCTTTTCAACAAGCTATAAATAAAATCACATTAAATTGTTTAAAAATAAACAATAAATTATTTCAATTGAATTTACTATTATTTACTATTAATTCTATTTCTATATAATAAAGTTTACTTTTTGTCTAAGAACAATACCAAACATTTAAAACTTAAAAGCAGTTAAATTTGCTTATTATTTTATTATAACTTACACCGCCTAATATCGGATCACAGCCATGATAGCGAGCATACATAACAATGCCAATAAAAGAATTGAATCCCAATACGAGAATAATACCAATACCAGATAATAAGAGCGCTCTGAAATATAATATTTTATTATTTAGTAGTGCTTTATTATATATTAAATACATTAAAATTGTACTTGTTCTATAAAAACGATTTCTGAACTATATATTATTTAAAAATCGCTTTAAGAACAATGACCTTAACTCTGACTGATTTTAATAAAAAATAACAATTTATTTTAGTGAATATGCTAAAGCCACAAGCCGCTGTATTTTAGCCATCACAATAGAGATGCCAAGAACAGGAATGGCTTTCCAGTTTATATTATTTTATATGAAGAAGTCGAAACAAACTGTAATATTTTTGTGCAACATTTAAAAAAGAAAAAAAACCAATTTAAAATCCCGCAGAGCTTGAAGATAATTATCAATCGTTGTTGCATTAATTTTTTTAAGCCGGAGAGACTTTATTCTGCACAATAAAGTCGAGTACTCCATTTTATACGAAAAGTTGACATATAACAAGAAAATGTTCCACAGAATTAGGAAATTAGATAAAATTTTTTTTATGTTGAATTTATGTATTTTTCGTACAAAATAGAGGTTTGAATAGAAATAGAATAGAAATAATGGACAAAATTTTCATTTTCAGACGAACTTAAAAACTAATAATCAAGCAGTATTGATGAAAACACTTAGGTATTTTTACTTAAAAACCTTTTACATTACTAAATATTTCCATAAAAATTTAAAAGCAAAGCTATATATAAGGTAGGGAAACAAGCAATTTTCTTTTGTCTTGGCTTTTTCAAATCCAAACACACCAAACTTGAAACTTAAATAATATTGGACTGAAGTATTTAATTATACTTAGCATGCTAATAAATTAGTACCTTTTGGCATGATTGATTGATGGTAGAGACACTATTCTTTGTACACAACTTTGATTTAAGCCAATATATCCAATCCACATTATTGTACCATTAATTAGGGAGTTCCAAACACCAACGCGTACACGTGGATCCCAGGTGAAACTACAAAAATATAATATGATAGTTTTATTTTGCATAGTTTTTTTTATATTTTTTAATCAGAATAAAATAAATATATTTTAATATTTTTAATTTAGATTTATTATAACTCATAAGTATGTACCAAATAAACGAAAAATTTTTTTACTGTTTTATTGTTTTATGTTAGTTTTTTAAATCAAAATTATTTATCATACAAAAATGTACAAATTTATTACTATTATTATTAATGAGTGTACTTGGAAAACTTACTCAAAATTAAGGCGTCCACCCTCAAGTGCATTTTGCATCACATTACCGAGACCACCTATTTTAAGTGTGCCCAAAACACCAACTAAACTTACTGAGAATACCATTACTAAAGCTTGTACAACGTCAGTCCACACGACAGCTTTAATGCCGCCCTATAAATTTTAAATAAATATATATTGTTATTACTTCCAAATTGATTAATATTTTTGTTTTACAATATTTAAATATATATTTTTGGTATTAATAATATTAATAATATGTATTTTCAATAATAAATATGTCAGTAACAAATAGCATTCCCTAATACGAGTTAAAATATAAATATTTAACACCTAATTTAAATTTTTATACAGATAAGATTGAGTAGAACTTTCAAAAACCTATTCAGTATAACATTGCAGGTGGATCTGTTTTTTTATTAGAGATACTACAATGTATGTACTTGCAAAATTTTAAAATTAATATATCAATGACGACTTTTTTCGAAATAAACAAACAACGCCAATATATGCACCTCGTCAGACAATTTCCGGTCCATTTTTTGACATTAACGTTTCTAAATAATTCAGAATAACCTCACATGATATCATTCAGTATATACGCAAAAAGCCTGCTTTCACAGATCTGTCAGATATAAGAGCTACCTGAAAGTGTTTAATTTTCTCTGACGACAATAGTACTAATACATATTTAATAGAATGTGAAAGGTTATTATGTCTACCGCTATTAAAAACAAGACAGGTGATAAAAATCCATTCTTAAACTAACATACACAATTACATTCTCTTATATATATTTAAAATTTATTTCAACAAATATATTTATATGATTTTAGCTTACCAACATTGTGTAGAAAACACAAATCGAAGAGATTATAGTATTTATAACGTGAATGTTGATGCCCGTAACTGAAAGGAGTAAATTTTGTTATCAGCGAAAAGTGATTATTTATTTAAATTATGTGTAATTAATAAACCCAAATATAGAGCATTTTTTCTTAATGAAAGAAGCTTTAGCTGCTAACTTGATTTCTAAAATTGATTATGTATATTTTTTTAAACTAATGTAAATATTTGTCGCAGGTGCGCATCTCTCTGGAACAGACACAAACAGAACTATCTACGCGGCTGTCTGATGCGCTATATTACGCTTAGGGCAAAAAACGAATTATTTACTTCCAAAAATATACTTTAATTAAAAAAAATTATAAAAAATTTAAATTCTACTTAAGTTTAATATTAATACTTGCTTATATACGGTTATTATAAATTAGAAAATTTTGGATTTTATTTTAATAATAATAATTTGACATTTAGCATACCCTGCGAGAAAGCCAATGATGGAACAAACATGTAGACTGGAAGCATCAGTGCAGAATGAAAAATAAACGATATTGTTATCAATTGACGCACGCGCTTGTTGAATCGCATTTCAAGATACTGAATATTAAAATAGAATTTATATAATTTTTGAATGAATCTTATTTATTTTTAAGTTATTTACCTCATAACAGTTGGATATATTATTTTCATAAAACACCGGAATGATAATATAGCACAATATTGGAACAACAATAATCATTGATAATACCGCAATAAAATAGTGGATACCTTCAACATAAAAGGATTTTTTAAAGTATATAAATTAAAATAAATACTAATATTTATACAAAAACTATATGTTAATAACAAATGTAAATTAAAATCAGTTTAATTATTATTATTATTATTATGTTTTTGTTTATCTTCTTTGTTGTCTTGTTAAGATTTGAATTCTTTTTAAATGTGTCCACGCGTATTGTAAACTTGTATTTTATCTATGACAAATTTTTCTAAAAAGTAAACAACAATTAAAGAACAATTAATCTATATTAAAGTATCCAAATTAAGTTTTACCATATAATTATAATTATTTTTTACAGTATATATATTTTACAGGAGATATTAGAACCAAAGCACGTTTAATAAAAAGAAAACAAATAGTAAAATCAATTTCACGGTTGATTTTTTAAAAATATATACGTATACATTTATATATGTTGTATATATATACATATATGTATATACTATACTCAATAATTACAATAATCATATATCACAGATAACAATATCCTGTAAGCAAATATAGTACAAGTGATATCAATTTATATATAATATTTACATATAAAAGAAGCTTATTACCATATGAGTATGTTTCCGCAGGTATTGACATAATAGATATACCGGATAACTGACTATAAGTATACAAACAAATTTTTATATTATTTATAAATATTTATACTTAATATAATTATAAATTATAAAAAATAAATACGTAAAATGTAAATGTAAAATATTATATGTTAATTTTTTTGATGAAAGTGACTGAATAGAAGTTAGAATAGAAATAAAAAGATAACAACGAAAATTTTAGTTATTTTATTGAACTGATCATACAACGCTGTTTCGAGTATTGCCATCATCAGTAGTCTTTGGAGATATTCGAATTTTATTAATTAGTTTATAGTTCGTATATAATTTGTTTAGACTATAAGTGCCAGGCTTAGAACTTATGCCTGTCAAAGTAGAAGAGATGACTAATAGTGTTTTTCTAAAAGCAGCCAAGGCTACAAGTTTTTTATCATTCTTTTTTATTTTTTAAGTCACACTAACTAAAGCACTTGTCGTGCTTTAAATAAGAAAGTTTTATTATTTTTATTTTTAATATTATTTAATATTAAAATAATATTCCTTATAATTAATTTGTGTTTCTTGGTAAATAAAATTTTTTATAATATACATATTATCCGGAAACCATGACTCTATTTCTGTCGATTTGACAGAAAATTTGTGGTAACATAAAGCTCAATAAAACAACTCTGTCTTTAATTTGACAGTTAACGTTATTGTTGTAAATGACAAAGCCCGTAATAGTTAAGTTTAATGTAAATTTTTGTTTAGTGAAGCAATTATTATTTTATTGCACTTAATTCGATTCATAAATGTAAATTTAATAAAAAGTAATATTTTAAAATAATAATAAACTTTGGCCATTTCAATGTAATAAAACCGTGATTCTTACTTGACAGGATAATATATAAAAAACATATTTAAAAAAATAATGTTTTTTAAAAAAAATCTTGGGTTTTAGAAAACAAATCAATTATTGGAATAAATATATTTTAAAAAGGTACCTAATAGTTTGAATAAAATTTACTTAGAAGAAAATGGTTAAAACTTCGAATATATTTGAAGTTTTGTCATTAATCCAGTCGGTGATATTTTTTAGTCCAAATGATTAAATGTTTAAATGATGTTGTTTTGCCATTTGATATCGAATAGCGATGATACCATTTAATCAGATCGGTTAATTATGTCAAATTTTAGTATTTTAATTTAATATTTGAGATTGTTGAAAACAAAAGTAAGATCACATTAACCAAAAACAAGCTGCACCTTTGATTTTAACTAAACTATGAATATTATTAGTAAATTATTAAAACTACAAACTAATAAATTATAGCTTATGTTATTCAATTTATTTATATTAAGGCAGATAATCTTTTAGGGTTTTAAAAATAAAAAAAAAAAAAACTCTGCACTTGTTATAGTAAAATAATGTAACCATACATCAATTTTTGTTATAGTGATTTAAATCTGTATATAAATATTAAATTTTTCATAAAAATGTTTTACTGAAAAACTAATTTTATTTATAACTTTTATTTCCTTTTGTAATATTTTAATTTAGAAAAAGCAGAAAATCAAGAAACTGAAATATTAGTTTACACATCAAAAGACAGATACATAGGTAGAATAGATATATATAAAAAAACAAACCTTGCTACTAAGGATATAGCGATTGGTACAGTTTTCATTCTTTTTCCACCCATCAGATATTCATCGGTGGTGTTTTTAGCTTTCGAAAAGAAACCGAAATATACGCCAATACCAGCAGAAACGCACAACAATAACACAAAAACGACATAATCGGTGGTTCCAAAGGTAATATTTTTTACGGTCGTCACTGACACATGCACAATATTTTCGGTCGTACTTGACATTTTGAATATTTAAAGAAACTATATTTTCATTTAAAAAACTTAACGTATTTTTTTTTAAATCTTGATTTTGTTTTTTAAATAATTTTTTAAGTTCGTTAATCTAACAAATCTTTAATTTGATTACAGTTCTCTAAAATTTATTCCGATTACCCAAATTTTAATTTTTGATTTTAATTTACTATGTGTTCTTCGAACGCATTAATTATACTCAAGTAAAATCATTTTTGATTTAACTTAAATACTAAACGATTTTTTTTATTAAAATTATGATTTCATACAAAAAAATTCTTATCTTATATATCATAGAGATGTTATATATACACGTGCTGTTATAATATCATTATTGCTGTAGTATTAATGGAGCCGAATTTCACAGCAGATTTCTTATCTGAAGTTTGTCTATGAATCTCTTGTAGGAGCATCACTAGACTTTGTATTATATGATCTCTTCTTGTATTGGTTTAATTATTAAAAAAAAATACTCTGCTTTTGATTGATAAAATTTGAAGATAGTAACGTTGATTTTAAACGCATTAAAAGGTTATTTACTTCATTTCAAAGTAGCTGATGAGAAATTCTACCATACATCGAAGAGGGACGATGAGCTTTTCAGCTCATAAATATTGTGAGAACGAGTTAAAAAAAATTTGTGCCAAGTAAAGTTGGACTGATCATGGCACTACTGCAACAATTTGTCACATTTATTTGTCAATTATACTAGAGTTAATATTACTTCCTTTACTTACTTAGTTGGCCATTACAGACGTGAGTCGTACTTGACCACATTGAGTGACGTATTAATATTATATTTGAGTAATTAGAATATTTCCTATTAACTTCCTATTTAAACATGAAATTTTCGAACTGAAAGGCATCACTTTAAAATAGGACTATTCAAATGTGATCGACAATTTAGTAAAGTGTTCTCTATCGCGTTTTCCACCTGCGGGTACCGAATCAAACGCCTTTCTAACCGGAGCACTTTCTTCCATTCGCACGACATTACCAAGCCAGCGAAACCACTGAATTTGTATGCGCTTAGCTATGTCAATGTGGCGGTATAGCCCATACAGCTCATCGTTCAAAACTCGTCGCTAGCGTGTAAGGGATCATAAATCTTCAGAAGAATTTTTCTCTTGAATGTTCCTAACGCCTTCTCATCACTGTTGGTAATTGTAGAATAGAGTTGTAGATTTGTAGAATGTGATTTTTGTTTGTTGAGAGCTTTATTTTTCAATTGCCTATGTAGTCCGAAGTAACATCTGTTCGCATCTGTTTGTTGTATATTGGTTTTTGTTAAATTCCGAGGTGATGCCTCTGATTCTTATTACTGTGAAGTACTTATGATTTTATTATATTTTAATAAAAAAAAATAATTAGTTAAATTCTTTTTAAAAAAATTTCTTTTATTGATTTTGAAAAATAAAAGAAATACTCATTTAATATTATTTTCTAAGACTATTGTTTATGTTATTCGCAAATTGAATAATTTTGTTTTTCATATATATTCATATAACATGTTTATATAGCATCATATAATTACGTTTGTGAAAAATAAATTAAATGCCTTGTTATATACGAGTGTTAATTTAATATTAACATTAATTAATTAACTTAAAAAATATTAAAGCGTGTTTAGTAACAAACATTAAATTTATTGTCACTAGAATCTTATATTATATTAATAAATTTAACTATATTTAAATTAATCAAAATTTATGGCATGATATTGTGACGACGTCTATCACTTTATGATGTATGATTTATTAAGAGATGAAGGTAGATGCCGGCTTTAGACATCTCCATTGGCGCCATTTTGTTTTTGATGCTGCGTTTTATCGATGCCTCCATTTTTAGCGTTGCTCATAATTATTGTTGCATTATTTTCGCCATTTAGAATCGGAGATTTTAAAGGCATTTCTTCCATTTCTATAGTGTCGAATTTAATGAATTTACGTACAATTGGTGTAAACAGTTTAGGATTAATTTTTTCATATTTATCTCTCTTCCAAAAGTAGCTTAAAGGAATTGCCACAACCCAAACAATTAAACCACCTAGAACTATATATATAAAATTTATATAATTATAAAACATTAATTATTTGTTTTTAATTATTAGATTTGAACTCACCTTTATACCAAAAGAAAGATATTTCAAATATGGAAAAATCTCTGTTACTTGTGAAGGCAGTTGTTACTAATGGATTTGGGGTTACTTCGAAATCTTCAATTTGTTTGGTGTTATTGCCATTTTTAGCTCTGTAAAAGTTTTTTAAAATAAATATATGAAAAGCACTTTTTAATTATACAAATAATTTTACATTGAGTTAAGAATAAAATTTAAGTTTTTAGCTTCACATTGATCTAATGTAGTTGGAACGGGATCATATTTTATAGCACCTGATTTAAGTCGAAATTGTGCAATTGTTATTATCCAGCACATAATGCCAATACTGATGATAATTGATGTAACAGCGACCTTTAAGATGAATATTAAATTTAAATAATTTTTTTTATATTATTAATCGTATATAAAAATAATTATCATATTATTAGGAGTATAGTTAATTGATTATTAAAATGGCTTCAACTAGTAAGTAACAATGCAATATAACATATGAATTCTGGATTATATATATAGAAATATATATAAATTCTGGATAATATGGGTAAACAGTATTCAGTTATTATTAAATTTAAAAGATATATATATATAAATATTTATTACTATTACACCATTAGTGGTATTGGAGTTATGTCTTATATTTAATTATTTTCAAATATTTATTTTTTTAAGACTGCAAGTACCAAGGGTTGAAGTCGTACTCTGCCAAATTTAAAGCTCAGAGTCAGCGCACCTTAACCAACTGACCCAAAGTGGTACATGATTCTATGTTCGAACTTGAAGATTTTTGTTAATTTGCTGTCTAAGTTCATTAAAAAATGTAGCATAATTGAATTAATTAATTATATATAATTTTTTTTTTTTAATTCTTAAATTTCAATACTATTCTTTTGCATAGGCATTATTTATTGTATGATATTATTTCTTCCTTGTGCATTAATATTTATTATTTTATGAAGTGTTTTTATTATTGTAAAAAAAACCGATTTATTTTACAATTAGTTTCATTCCATCGATATTTCGTCATCTATTTAAGTTTCTTAATGACAACTTTAAACTAAAGTGAAAATAACAATAAAATTTCTTTAAAAATCTTAATCTTAAATTTAAAATCTTAATTTTTATTCTTAATTTTAGACTGCAAAAACACTTAATTGAAAACATTTATATATAAAATAAAACATGTAGCTAATTAAATGACTAATATACAATAATGCATAAACTTACTTTTCCATTAACTCGTGGTATAAACATTCCTATTAAGAATACTCCAACCACAGCGCCAGTTGAAATGCCAGAAAGAGTTATAATTATTTGCAAAATAGAGTTAAAATTTTGTACTACAAATCCACCCAAAACGCTGTAAATTCCCATAACAACAACAAATACTTTCATAATGAAATTAGCCCTGGCTTCTGTGTGCTTGATAAAAGGTTTTATATAATCGAAGTAAGTGACACCGGCCAATGAGTTCAATATAGCGGATAGAGTACTTAGAGAAGCACTAAAAACACAAGATACAAAAATTCCAGGCATGCCTTGTAAATGACCCAATATTTCTTGCACAAAGAATGGAACTAGTTTATCTGCTTTATCGACAAGCTATTAAAATAAGATTAAATTAATATAGGTATGTGTATGACATATTAACAGTAACAATAAAATAAAACAACAGGAAGAATAAAAAATATAAAATAAGTTAATTAAATTTGTTTATTATTTTAATATAACTTACACCGCCAAATACTGGATCACAGCCATGATAACGAGCATACATAACAATGCCAATGAAGGAATTAAATCCCATTATAGTAATAATGCCAATACCAGATAATATGAGCGCTCTAAAAATATAATGGTCTATTATGAAATAATGCTATACAATATATATATTTATATATATATATATCAGTGACGACTGCTCTAAGGTGCGGAGGTGTGCGGTGAACACCCTAACATAATTTGCAAAATGTTAAATAACATAGGTACATAAATTTATTAAGTATCTTCACATCAAGAATTATTATTATTTATTACATTTCCATATAATATATATTTTTAAAGTTTTAGCAAAAACAATTAAATATAATTGTCTATGAAAACTCAATCAATTTGCTTCTGTTAGCTGCTATACTTGTTAGTTGTGCTCATGTATTTGCAGCTCAAATCACAGAACATTTTTATTTTATTTCGTCTCTCCCCTTTGTGTGCAAAGAAGTTGGCTGCACATTCATATTTTGCATATTAACAAAATAATGTGCGTGTGCTCCCGTTCGTAATAACAGAAATAGAGATTTATATAGTGGGAATTGTATGAGAGTAATTTTCTGTTCTATTCGAATATCAACTGCATGCATACGAATCCAACATGATGATTTGCCAAAGTGATTGCATGAGCGGCTGAAGTTTGCAGCTCATCTCACCATACATTTCTATCACATTTCGTCTCTCCCCTTTTAACAGTAGCACCCACGAATTTCTGTTCTTACTGTGCGGAGTACATGTGCGCACATTTGTACGTTGCAAGTGAGTTTGATTTTGTTTGATCACTGGATAAACATGTATGGTTCTGAGTTAAAACTCTTTTGTTTGAAAAAAGTTGGTTTGATGTTACAAGTATATGAAAAGTTTTGTTTTTGATATAATATTAAATTTATATATAAATTATTAATTTAATTTGTTTAATATGTTATTTTGTTAATGAATTGTTAATATAATATTACGAATATATTGTTGCCTAACATAATATAGTTATTATTAATAAAACATCTCATATATTTTAATATAAGTGGTACATGTAAAAACAACATTATAGAAGGGCCGCACACCCTTCCAGATAGGGCACGCGTCGTCACTGATATATATATATATATTAAAATTGTTCACTATAAAGATAATATCTATACTACTTAAGCCTTAAAAGTTGTTTTACGAGTATTAACATCATCAACTCTATTAAAACCGAATTTAAATGATCAATTGATTATACTGTGGGACACTAAATTCTCTTTTCTAATTTTCGTAAAGGAAAAAATATTTATCTAATCATTCATAGTAAGTTTGAAAAAACGAAACTAGTATCTTTAAAATAAATATTTTTTATTAACCCTTTAAAATCTAAATTTTTGAACTTTAATCCGTTATTGTAAGAGATCCATAAGTATATGAGAAAAACGGATTTCAGATTTGAGTTCAGCATATTCAAATTGACCTAAAATGGTTAAAAAAAAACAAAAATCAGAGAAAAAACTAATTTTGTCGCATATTGTTATCAATATGGTCCATATGTGCAACTACGAGCCGCTGTAAACAAAAGCACCGCTGTAGACAATAACAGAGACGGTTTCTTTATTTTATGCTGTTATGTTATTTAAAATATTTATTCATGATAAATCTTGTTAATTAGTATGGTGATATATATCACAAAACTGTGAATATAAACCTAGAAACTCTTGAATTAATTATTTAATAGTGTTTATAATAAACTTTGTCAATAAACTCTATAAAAGCTTAGTTAAAAATATAACAGTATTGAACCAATTAAAACCATTTTAAAACTATTTTTAAGAATGTTTAAAATTTAAAACTTAAGAAGTAAATGATAAATAAAAAAATAATTAACAGGCAATGATAAAAATACAGAAAGAGTGTTGAAATGTTGTGTATTTAATAATAATAATAATAATAATATAAAAATATAATAGAGTTGAGGATATATTTATAGTGTTATTACATATTATTATATGCAACCAGTGTAGTTGCCTGTAATTTGGTGTGGAATGGTGTATTCTGAATTCTACAATAACTGCAACCGAAAATGTTTATTTACATTAAAATAATAAGCATCTTTTCAATTATGATCCAGTCTAAATGTTATAAGTTTAACAATACTAATTATATCTTCTATATATTTATGGTAAAAAGTATCCTACATCATTAAATATCTTGAGGAAAATCTTATATTTCATTTTTATTATATTAAAGTAAGGAAAACAAACAACTGTCATTCTTTTCAAATTAAATTGCAATTAAAGTGCTAAAATGTAATCATATCTGTAAAAAAAGTACCTTTTGGCATTATTTATCGATGGCAAAGACACTATTCTTTGCACACAGCTTTGATTTAATCCAATGTGCCCAACCCACATAAGTGTCCCATTAATTATACCGTTCCATACACCGATGCGTATACGTGGATCCCAGCTAAAGCTACAGAAAAGAAATATATGATATTAGCTTCATTTTGTTTATTTATTTATGTTTATTTTAAAATTGTGATAAATAACAAGTGTGTATTTAATAAAATAAATCTTTTCGGATTATAAATGCATTAGCAAAAAATTTAAATTTATTGTAGATTTTTAAGGTAAATTATTGATTGTATAAACATTTTTAATCTTATTTCTTTAACATAAAATCTTGTAATAATTTCTCTATTTATCAGTTCGAATATTGAACATAACTTACTCAAATGTAGTGCGTCCACCTTCAGTTGCATGTTGTATCACATTACTTAGGCCACCTACTTTAAGCGTTCCCAAAACACCTACTAAAGCGACAGATGATATCATGATTAAGGCTTGTACTACATCTGTCCATACCACAGCTTTAATGCCTCCCTGTATGTTTGAATATAATTGTAATTTATTTTTATATATTAAAATTGATCACTTTCTTTATTATGGATACATATTTGAAGTTTCAGAATATAAAGAATCGGGAATATACACAGAATTATCGGGTATTGAAAGTGTGCAAAAGTACATCAAAGTTAGAGCGCTAACATGGTTTTATTTTGCAGATACTTAATTTAATTCAGAATTACATTCTTTTAGAAAAAATGGCATGCTTATAACTATACTCTTATGAAATCACCTGAATACCTCTTTATCATATTTGAATGGAACATTTGTTACAGCAGATCATCCAAGTTATCACCATAGAGTAAAAATGATTTAGTCACTATCTCGCGGTTTAATAAAAAAAAAAGAAGAGAAATTTCTTAAATATATATAGTATGGTTATAAAAACATCTATTAGTTAAAACTGATCAAATTTTTTTTTTCAAATACTAAATTTTTGATACAAATACTCTAAGTTTAAAAAACTTAGCAGGTCCCCTATATGACAGCAAAACAGAGTTGTATATATTGGAGCAAATAATAATATGCGATGGATTGTATTAAAAGTGCTAGCCCATACCTTCTCTACCTTCTGTGAAACTCTTAGAATCTTATTTAGATCACATTGTATTTAAAACTTATATAGTTATGAAAACTTTAAATATTTGTAACTAATTACACTATTATAATTCTTTTATAATAAAATGTGGTTGCAGTGTTAAATGAAAGAAAACATGGAGTTAAGAAGGTAATCCGATTTCAACCATTTCGATAGCCGATATTCTTCAAAAAAGGTGACGCTATCTATATGTTATTATGCCTTCTCCAAGTAGTTGTATTACCTAGACCTACCTTCGTTATACCTTAAATATTCAAATCAAATTGCTTATTAGTACCTCTTATTTGTTGTTTGTACTAGGTGCAATATTTTAAGAATCGTTAATAAAACACAAAAAAAATTTTGTTTGTTTGGAATTGTTTTATTTTGAACTCTTATTAATTCTAAAGTGTACTTTCATGAGCTGGACAAATTAAATGATTGACTTAAACAGATACAAAATGTGAGACCCGATTTAAGTTTGTAGCTTGCCTAAAGCTTTTGCTGCTTAGTTGGGTTATTCTGTCACATTATATTCCAGATTTCTACTGATTGTTTTTTTCCACTTTTTACAAAGTGAATCAGTTTTTGATCAACAAAGAACAAAAATTTATGAGCGTGGAATTATGGCACTGTCAGAAGGATGGCAAAAGGTATTGAATCGAAATGAACAATATATAGTTTTATTAAATATTTATTTTTAATATCAGAATCGTCTTAATTTTTATAAAACAAAATATAAAAATAACTTTGTTATAATATTAAAATTGTTTGGACTTGTTTCAAAATAAATAAGAAATGACAATATAATAAAAGTCCTCACCAGATAATTGCCAGTCCATTTTCTGATATTTATGTTTTCGAATAAATGAGAATAATGTCACATTCAATATATATACAACAATCCTACTAACACATATCTGTCAGGTATTTGAGAGCTCTAAAAGTGTTTCACTGGCGAAAATACTTTCTTGTAGAAAATGGGGTATTATTCTGTCTATATACGGGAACTAAAAAAAAATTAGGTGATAAAAATCTTCATTCTTTAACTGACATCTGCATACACATATGCCTAGGTATGTGTTTATAAGCATTATGTGTATAAATATGTATAAATATACTTGAAGCAATTTACTTACCAACATGGTATAGAAAACACAAATGGAACAGACTATAGTATTTATAAGGTGAATGTTGATGCCCGTAACTGAAAGGAGTAAATTTTGTTATCAACGAAAAGTGATTATTTATTTAAATTATGTGTGATTAATAAATTCGAATATAGAGCATATTTTAATTTAAGTTTTTTATATTCTTTTAAATAAATGCAAATATTTGCCGCTGGTGCGCATTGGGAATATTCACAGACAGACCTGTCTATGCGAATATATAATGCGCTATATTACGATTAGGATAAAATTTGAATCATTTACTTTCGAAATTATTAATTGGAATTTTAAAAATAATATATCTTAAGCAATAATGTTATAAATAATTCTAATGATAATTATTTTAGATTTGTATTTGTTGTACTTTTCATATACTCGTAATAATTTAATATTTAGCATACCTTGCGAGAAAGCCAATGATGGAACAAACATGAAGACTGGAAGGATCAGTACAGCATGAAAAACAAACGATATTGTTATCAATTGACGTACGCGCTTGTTGAATCGCATTTCAAGATACTGAATATTAAAATAGAATTTATATAATTTTTGAATGAATATTATTTATTTTTTAGTTATTTACCTCATAACAGTTGGATATATTATTTTCATAAAACACCGGAATGATAATATAGCACAATATTGGAACAACTATGATCATAGATAGCACCACAATAAAATAGTTCGAGCCTTTAATAATAAATACAAAGTTGAATGGACATTAATGTAATTAAATGGAAATATTATAATCAATAAATGTGTAAGTATTAACAAAAATAGGTTATGTATAAGTATGCATATGTATTCATATGTAACATAAGGGAAAGATAAAGTTTACAAATATACATATTGTTAAATTTGAATTCAGCGTTAGGAGCAGGATAATCTTTTAGAAGGAATTTAAATTTCAAAATAATAATGACTTATAATTAATTTAAATTATTATTTACGAAAATAAAATTTTTTTAATTATAATGTTAATTTTATAAAGCTGCCCTTCTCTTTAAGACTTTGGCTTTTATTTTATCTAACTGCATTTTTATAGCAGAACAACTACAATATAGTGATTTAAATATAACTATCCAGAAAGGAGAGAGTGTCTTCTGTAGCGAAAACTGTTTGTTTTTAACTTCATTCACAGTCCTCGTAGTAAAGTTGAAGAACTACAATTTAGACACTAATAAGCAAACGCAAAATAGATTAATGCACTATGACTTATTTATGTTTGTATAAAGTCTGTCGAGTAGTAAACTTTTTACTTCTGCGGTAATAAATTTATAACGATTAATAGAAGTAAGACAAAACTAAATATAAATATATATATTCCTATATATTATAACTGAATTCGACTATATGTATCAGTACTTTTACTTTCTATTAAAATATATAAATGAATGTAGAATTTTTGTTATGATATATGAAAGAATAAATGAGATCTTTATATGCTTAGACAGATATATTACCATATGAGTATGTTTCCGCAGGTACTGCCATAATAGCTATTCCGGATAGCTGACTATAAATATAGAAACAAATTTATATATTGTTGATATTAAATATAAATATATGCAAATATATATAAAGTAATATAAGTATTTAACTAATTTATAATTGTTTTGCTATTCTTGACAATAATTTATGAGCGGGCTAATTGGTCAAATTGATTAAATAAAAATGACTATCAAAGATAATCGAAATATCGGAAATTATTTTAATAAAATATAATTTGTTTTAAATATAAATAATAAATTATAGTTTTTTTTTTTATTTAAATGACCAATTATCCCGCTCATAAATTATTATATTATATTTTTGGTCACAAAAAAAAGAATAAAATTCTTGACAACTTAAATTCTTTATAATATATATATTATCCTAAAACCATGAAATTATTTCTATCGATTTGACAGATTTGAGCTTATTTTAAAATATTTTGTAACGCAAAGATCAATAAGACAACTCTGACTTTGAATTCAGAATTTGACAGTGAACGTTATTGTTGCAAAGGACAAAGCACGCAACAGTTAAGTTTAATGTGAATTTATTTGGGTGGAACAATTCATTTTTTATTGCATTTAATTTAAGTAATAAATGTATCAATAATAAAAAGTGCTATAAATTAAAGAAAAAATAAAATGATTTAAAATAAATTCTTAAGTTTTTCATTACAATCCGTGAATATGCCATGTGCCTAGGCAGAACACGTAAAAATTATTGGCAATGGTAAGTACAAAAAAAATAATATTTTGTAGAAAATGACTTGTGTTTAATAAAGGAAATCAATTTTTTAAACAAAAATATTTTAACAGTTTAACAGCTTAGCAGTTTAAACAATATTTACTTGAAAGGAAATCGTTCAGTTTTTGTCATTAATTCAGTTGCGGACATTCCGTTAGTCCAAATTAAAGAAGAAGAAGATGCGAATGTGGTTCATATGATTAAATGATAACAGGATTGGTTTTTTTTATAATGAATATAGTTTGGTTGAAAGTTAATGACGATGATACTGTATAAGTTTAATAGGTTTTAATTGGTGTAATTTAATTTATTTAAATACAAAATACCAAAATATCAAAACTTTAGTTGATAAACGTTTACCCAAATGACATACTTTTTGCATTGAACTAAACTGTTAATACTTACCCTACCATTTTAGTTTCATTTTTTTTATAGAAATGTTTAATAAAGAGGTTTTTCGAACAGTAGTGACATACAACAACAAAAATTCATTTTATATTATTTTAATTAATTGAATTTTTGGTTGACCACACAGCTGTTTTGAGTATTGCCACTGATACCCATCATCAGTGGTCTTGGAAATAATACTTATATTTAATTATTCGTGAATAATTTTTTGAGACTGCAAGTACCAGGAATATAACACTTGTCCTGCCAAATATGAAGCTCAGAGTCAGCGCACTTTAACCAACTGACCCAAAGCCGTACTTGACTTTTATGTTCGCACATTTTCTCTGGATTTTCTCCGTATTACGTTCCAAGATTAGGTTCTATACATAAGAAAGAATATATAAATCATACAACAAATAATGCTTCTACAAACAGAATAGTATTGAAATTTAATAATTAAAAATAAAAGTATAATTAATTCAATTTTTTTACAGCTGGTTTATGATTTGGTTCTAATATAAACACAGCAAGTGAATTTGTTAATAAAACTTTCACAGTAAATATTTATTAAAATTTTGGACAAATAAATTATATTTTATGAGTCACATTTTATTTCATATCAATATTGTATCAGATCATATATATAAGGATTTTAAGTATACATATTTATATAAACGGTTACTTCTTTAAGGTGTTGAACATATCTATGGTTATGATTTTAAAAAAGAGAAACGTAGATATGTTTTTAAAAAATTACTCTCATATATTATATAATTGCCTCAGTTGCCTTCGTTTTTCTTTTGAATCCATAAATTTAAATAATTTAATAAATGGAAAATTTATAAATTTAAATTTCTTACTATTTTATAGATTTAATAATTTTATTTGCACAATACAATAAGACAAAATTAAATCAAATTAAATAAAGAGATAAGAACGATGAGGAGTTAGAGTATTTGAACTAACAAGGATATCAATTTTGATAATCTGGAGTAGATTTATTATGTTTTGTAGATATATATTTTAGTTTTTACACTCGGAGGGCTTAGCAATGATAATTTTCAAAAGCAAAAATAGAATCCTAGTTATATTTTTATATTTTATTTAGAAAATAAAAATTTAATGTTCGACGTGATACACTACAAATAAAAATTTTTTTTAAATTTATATAAAAGTTCTCAAACTAAGAAGGATCTTTCTTCTGGAGAAATATATGTAATTCTGGAGTCGGTTGTCATGTTTTGTACATATATGCTTAAGTTTATACACTCCGAAAATTATAATACCTTTTAATATAAATTCGAAATTTTATGACTTTAAAATAAAAATTATAAACTAACGTTATACACTAAAAATAACAAAGTCCTTAAATTTGTAACTTTGTATATAAGGATATTTGATTAATACGAGTTTTTATATAATCAAAGAATTCCTTTTAATTTATACAATTACTAAAATATCTGAACAATATTTATTAAAAAAAGGACTCATTATTTTTTCGTTTCCCACATGAATTGTAAAAATATTTGCTATTAATTATGACACTTTTTTCTTATTTTTTTAAAGATTTATAATTAACTTTATTAATTAATAGTTTTATTTACTACAGAAAGGGAATTATCACTTTATAAATCAGATGACCGCTTATCCTTATATGATCACGTAAAAACTGTTTTCAAAATTTACAAAGTAATATTAAAAATAAAACCATACGTTTTGTGTAGGCTGTATATCTGTAACACAGTTAGATTTTTAAAAATGTGATTTATAATAAAAATTTAAAACTTTTAAAATATATTAATTGTTTGAAAATATTGTATCTAATTTTTGACAGTTTTTATTTTCTAAAGATACTACATGAATAAGACAATAAATTGTATAAGTCAAGCTGAACTGTCTGGATTCACAAAACGTCCTTGTACACTCCACAATATCAAAAAACTTAAATTGTATTATAAACTATATTATTATATATAGTTTATATATTATATAAACTATATTATTATATATAGTTTATATATTATATAAACTATATTAATATTAGCTTATATATATATATATATGTACATATTACATATTTTTTCGATATAGCGTTACGATATTTATATGGTAACATTTTCATGGGCTTTATTCATAAGGCGTAAGAAATTCAAAAAATGTCAAGTATCACTTTAATTGTTTATTTTTAATTCTAAATAATTAAATTTAATTAATTTATTGATATATGTATCAGAACAAACCTTGCTACTAAGGATATAGCGATTGGTACAGTTTTCATCTTTTTTCCACCCATCAGATATTCATCGGTGGTATTTTTAGCTTTCGAAAAGAAACCGAAATATACGCCAATACCAGCAGAAACGCATAACATTAACACAAAGACAATATAATCGGTGGTTCCGAAGGTAATATTTTTAACCGTTTCTGTAGCGGTCGCCATTGACGCTTGTACAATATTTTCGGTCGTTTTCGACATTTTGGTTAATTATTTAAAGGAAGTCAATTTTCATTTGTAAATTAAAATTTTCTTTTTAAAACTTTTAATTTTATTTTAAATTAATTTTTTAAATAATTTTTTAAATAATTTTTTTAAATAATTTTTTTAAATAATTTTTTAAATAATTTTTTTTTAATTGAAACAGATTAAAATACAGCACTTCATTTGAATAATTTTAATTACACAAAATATTATTCTCCTTTACGATTTTACCTATTTTTACGTAAGTTACTGCATTCTTAGAACGACACAATTATACTCAAGAAAAATATTTAATTATTTAACTTAAATACTAAATGATTTCTTTTATTAGTGTTACGACTTTATATGACAATATTCTTATCTAAAATATTATAGAGATATTATATTTAAACTTGATGTTACAACTGTTATTACTGTAGTACTAACAGAGCTGTATTTCATAGCAGATTTAATGTGGATTTATTATCTCAACAGTGCCTTTGAATCTCTTCTGGTAGCATCAGTTATTGTACTTATTCTTTTTTTCTTGTATGATTTTAATTTATAAAAATATTTTACGATTTATTAATAAAGTGCTGAGATAATAGCGTTGAATTTCCACGCATTAAAAGGTTATTTACTTATTTGATAATAGCTGATGCGAAAGTCTACCACACGCCGATGAGTGACGCGGAGCTATTGTAGCTCATAAATATTGTGGAAAGGTGTGAAAATAAATAGAATTTGTGTCAAGTGCAGCTTGATTGGTCATGAACTACTGTAAAAAGTAGGTCACATCTATTTGTCAATTATATTAGAGTTCATATTACATTTTAATAATTAGAATACTTCCTATTAACTTTAAAAATATGAAGTTACATTGAAACTTGAATATAAAGGTATGAAAGTTTATTGGTTCAGGCTCGGTTATATCGTTATACAATAGATCAAGTGTATGGTCTTATAGGACCTTTTCATTTTTTCGAGGTCTCCTGCCATGTTTAACCTTTGGTACTTGCAATCTTAAAAAAAAATTATTTGCAAATAATTAAATATAAGAAACAATTCTAACATCCTTGGTGTTGATGATGGGTATTTGGCAATACTAAAAACAGCTGTATGGTCAGATAAAAATTCAATTAACTAATAATATAATAAAATTTTATTGTTGTAATTTAATACCGTTCGAAATACCTCTCTATTGTGAACTTATAATTTGTAAGTAAAATTCAGTGTAAAGAATACACACGTAAGTTTCAGAGGAGTAAAAATCAGCTTTTTCTTGTCTACTACTACATTATTGGCTGAATCTATTACAATTTATCATATCTATAACATATACTTTATAACATAATTACCTATAACATAATTTAAAACACTAAAGTATGGAAAATAGTTATAGAGGAATTGAACAAATCTTCCCACTTTAGGTTTCCAGATCATTATAGTGTCTTTCAGGCGGAAGTGATTGTCATTAAGGAAGCTATAGCTTTTTTGAATGTAGATGATATATTAGACAGGAATATATACATACTATCAGACAGTCAAGCTGCTTTAAAGTCCTTGGGTTCAGTCCAATTTACATCTAGGACGGTTTTTGACTGCTACACATCTCTAAACGAAATGTCGACGCAGCTCAATATTTCTCTAATCTGCGTTCTCGGCCATAGGGATATTTTCGGTAATTTCAGGGCAGGCGGGAGTGCTTCAGGACCTTACTCGGAACATCTAGACAATCTGGATATATCGCTAACATCTTGTAAATTATTACTGAACTTTTTCTGTACATAAATCTTTAAAAAAAGAAGGGAAGACTCAGCGATATGTAGACATCTGTATGTAATCTGGGCACTTTCCGATAAAAGGAAATCTAAAATTCTCATTTTTGCCCAGCCCATGCGCGGCGGCGACTTAGCATTTGGGGAATCCCCTTTCTTGAGGACCTGGACCAGTTACAGGACCTGACATTAAATAGCATTTTATGCTTCGTCAAAGGTTCTAGGTAGTTTTAAACCATGAGCTTCTTCTCCTATATATACGGTAACACAATGTATAGATATAGAATATATACATATATATATATATATATATATATCTTCCTTAGATTTTAAATACCGAGTACAAAGTAACCGTCTCTGAGAAGCAGATAAATGTGGTTTTTCTGAAAATTAAAAAAAAAAAATATGTTGAAATGGGATTGTATTATGGAAATGTATAGTGTTTCGACGAAGATATTTTCAAAAACCATGATTTGTGAATCTTAGCTAAATGATGCTGTTTGATAAAACGTTTTAAGTGATGTACAATGGGAAAAAGTATTTAATTTTTTAGAAAAAGCAAATATGTACAGAAGCTTTCTTATTAAGGAACTTAATTATACCTCGGGATGTATTATCTTCTTAAATATATAAATACATTTATTATCTCTCATTTTGAACTACAAATAATTGTTAATTTTGTATGGAGGTTGTATAAAAATATAAATAAGGAGCATTTACTTCTAATCTAATCTTAATCTGTACGTGAAAATGGAATATACATATATATCACTTCTGTGTAAAATGTTTACGGAATTTATAAATGTTTTTGGCAAAATTGTATAAATGTGGTCAACCAAGCACCGCATTTACCTGCCATACCTCTTACTTGGTGTGTACATTGGTTAGACTTTCGTCAGTGACTTATATTCGAAAGCGAATTCGAACTATGTTCGAATTTTGCTTATGAACAACAATTTGTTTGACTTAGTGAAAAATTGGAAATGTATACAATAATTGTACCCAAGAGTGGACAGCTTAGAGTAGTTGTCTTAGTGCTTTTTCTGTCTGTGAAGCTAAAACTACCAATGCGAAACGAAAAGATGTTGCAAAAGGTGTTGAGGGCCATAACTAACTCAACTGACGAAATATATTAGGTATATTGGATCAAGCACTGGTTGTGTATATCAATCGATAGAGTGTTCGATAAGTGAATGAGTATTTTAATATTGGTTTATAATAGTGAAGGTATTCTTTGAGAAAGACGGTAATTTTGCTTGAATAGGTTTAAAAATATTTTGAAAAAAGACATAATTCTGATGAATTTGGTTGAAATCTTGGTCAACATATATATTTACATACATATAGGTAGGTATTTTTGCTATTATTTTCAATAATTCTGAAAAGACATATAAAAGAAATAAATTGCAACTAATATCTATTTGTTTTATTTTTTCTTTACTTTTTTAATTCCTTAACATACACTTGAATAAAGTACTTTTATTGTTTATTAAAAAGCTTAGATGAGGTGACTGAGAAATTTATTTAAATTTATTTCGAGTTTACTGACTTAAAACAATAGTATTTTCTCAAGTAAATAAAAAAATCTACGTCATTGAATAAATATTCACTTTCTTTCGCATTTAATCTTTTCACGGATACAATGAACGAAATCGTAAAAGTTTGAGGCTTTTCACTTTAAGTAAGAATTATGTTGCATGACTTGCTATAAACTAAGGCTTATAGACTAAAAAATATTAAAAACCATAATAAATAAATTAAAACTTTCCTCTTTTGCAACAATATTATTGTGATATTAAATTAAATGTGACGTTAGTCAAAGTAGTAATGATGAAATTTTAGTTGATATAAAATTTTTAATCAACAGAAATTAAAATTTTTACTAAAATATCTAAATTTTTTAACGTCTTGGTAAAACTGATGATGCAAATAAAATTATCGTGTAATATCCAACGAATTGGGGATCAAACATATCATATATTAGATTAATATATGTTCTTCTCATATAAGCAACCAGAACCACGAAACTGATTAGGTTAAACAGATTTTCGGTTTCTAGGTACATATATTGATCTATTAGGAACATTGTCAAATTATATTTTTTATTATTTCACTGGTGCACGGAGAATGTAGTTCTTTTATTACTGGTTAACCAAGTTCAACCAAGACAATCAAGTGGTTGTCATTTTCTTATTGTGTTGGGGAACTTAAGGGAATACTCCAAGGTTTATCATCCCTTTACCTTTTTCACCTTTCCATTTTAGAATAATCAACTTCCAGTTGTATTCACAATTACTGATCGTAGCCTTATGTTTAAAAAAATGCACTAATCCGGTTCTCCACGTGTTTAATGACTTATATTTTAATATTATATATATAGCGTTGTATATATAATTTATATATTTTGTTATATGTGCACTTTGAAATATGTGATAAGTAAATTTTAAAGAATATCACGTCCCAATTCTTTTTGTGTATAATAAATGGAAAAACATGTCATACTCTCTTATAATACATTATTTAAATGAACTCATTTACAAACATTTTCAATAACAAAAAGTATATATTATGTATATAATATATTACATACATAACATTATATTAATTGATAAACATAATTTTTTGGTCTGAATAGCACTTGATTCAAAGAAAATTTAGGTGTATCATAGATAAAAAAGTTTAATGTTACATGAATTCTATTCATGTGGAGTTCTATCTATTCTAACTAAAAATATTTAAAAATAATTTCATTCAAAGTTTTATTCTTGAAATTTATTTGTTCATTTAGTTAACGCTAATAACCATTGTGATCATGATCAATTAGTATGGAATATTTAAATTTTTTTCTATTTTGAAAATATATTATCATCTGCAATCAGCAGTAGTTCATAAATATGTCAAAAATTAATCCAGATTAAATCAGCTTTCTTGAACTTATTGTTTTAAAAGAAAGGAGCAAAAAAAGGCGACTGAATTTGTACGACCACTCTTAAGATATTTCGGGGTTCCACAATTTCTGAAGTTGGAGTACCTACCTGAACTAGAACTGCAACCACTACTAAAAATGTCAACATTCTACATGATTCTTACTTATGGTACATCATCTGGTATCACTAGTAACAAGATTGACCTAAACTAAACTTTGGCCTAAAATTTTTAAAGAGGTCTTATGGTACATCATCTGGTATCACTAGTTACAAGATTGGCCTAATCTAAACTTTGCTTTAGTTGCACCAATTATTTTTTGGTCTGAATAAAAGAAATCTGACATATTGATTAAGAGAGTTTTAGTTCATTAGCTATACTTGGCTCTTAAAGCTCCGTAACAAACGTCTGGAAATTCATTAGAAATTTTTTTGGAATCCTTTGCTTACTTTCCTTTCTTCTATTGCAGTGTCTTGATATTATTTTAGTTTATATAGAGTAAGATTTGTACCTACTCGTTTTCGCAAGAGAAAGATATCTTATTCGGATGCTTCTAGACAAATTAGCAAATATACCATACATTGTTTATATGATCTCCAAAACTTGTTCACAGCGTTCAAAAATAACTTGACAAACATAAAATATCCTGAATTAACAAAATCTGGATTATTATAATCCATATTATAATTTTATATAATTATATTATAATTTTGCAAAAGTTACAAACAGTTCAGCGTAATTGTTATTTATATTGCACCTGGAATTTAATTACGTACTTGATATAACATTTGGTATTTTTTTCATGGATATCGATTAATTAAAAATATTTAAAAAAAATTGTAATATATCTATTTATTTAATAATGAATTTTTTATCCTATACTTTTGGATAAAAATTTAGAATTAAAAGACTTTACGCACTAATATCAAATATTTTATTTAGTATTTTTTGGATACTATGGATACGATGTCTGTACTCATTACATTTACACCTTTTTTATTTTATAGATAATACTACATGTCAATGACATATCGTATTATATTAGGACATTGTTTTTTGCTTTTACGTTTTGACGAAACGCTCTTGAGATAAAAAAACCTTTGATTTTTCATGGTTCTTTGAAACCATTGTTGTTATGTCTGTTGATTATTTGACCCCCTCAGAAGCCGCTCATGACACGGTGACTCTACCGGTATGCTCGGTATAATAAAAAAAAATCATCTGCATCTATCCCTAAATTATGACACTACTACATTTAAAGTTTTACTTGCTTCAAGTGTACATGCTTGAAACCTCAGAAACTGACTACCCCCTATATCAAAGCAAATTCTTTACCTCAAAATGAATTGTAGTGATATCTGTCCTTCGTAACATATTCATCACTTTGATACATTTTATTCTAAAAGCCTTCCTTCACTCACACTCGTCATTCATTCATTTAGAAACCATATAGACGCAATTAACAAACTTGCAGTGAGGACAGAACTTCAAATCGAACTTTTTCACTGAAGCAAATATAATAAACAAAAAAATCGAAAAAGGACGACACAGGATGAAAAAGGAGCCAAGTCCATTCGTGGTCTACTTCGGATAATCCTTCACTTCACTGGTGCCACTTGTTGGATGGTGCGCTGTTCCAACGCCCCACAATATATAACTGTGTCGTATAGTGGATACAATTTCATCTACAATAAAAATACTAAATACCCTCTGTCTTTATTTGTTAGAAATTTTTAGAGTGTCATCTCCTTTCTTATTGGATCCCATTCGGAAATAATGGACAACCTTAAAAAAAAACTATTCATCTTATACATCAACTGAAAAGAAATGAATAATGATGTTGTTTTTTCTTCCACGATCCGCTGCTTATATGTTTAAATGTCTTTGTGATATCAGCAGGAAGTTGGAGTGTACATTAGGACCCATCATTGAAACTTGTCAATGTTTAAGTTTATGAGCACCTCTGTATTTAATATATTTCTTCTACCTGTTTGTTTAATATGTTTTTAATATAAATATTTAATTTATAGATTTTTTTTAGTATAACAATTTATTATTATTTACTTCATGTCTAGATGTTGTTATATTTATTTATACCATATTTCATTCATAATATTATGTTATGCTTTATTCTAAATAAAAAAATAAAACTAAACAAAGAAACTTTACTGTTACTTAAAATTTAATAAAAAAAAAAAAACAGTTTTTATTTATGAAGTTAAAACAAATTCTGGTTCGTTAGGGTAATTGTTTTTTAAATCGCTAGAATGTCCGGCTAAAAACAGTTGTAGGTTCTAATAGTAGTTAAGGATATATCATGAGTGTGCGTAGAGTTGAAATAAATTAAAAAAATTAGAATTAGACAGGACAGAAGGATATGTAGGAACACTGGGAGGTATACTGGGGGTTTGAAAGGAATTTATGGATAAACAATAGTGAGGATATCATGTTCTCTGTTTGGTCTGATTATTCGTGTGTATGTTTATAAACATTTTTAATGGCGGGAATATTCCTTTTTTTGTTGTTGTCTGTGGATTTTTCTCAGTTGCCAAGAACCCCGTCCCAAAATGGCGAACAGGCAGACACAACATCATTTAGCCTTTGTGAAGCGTTTCTAGATTTAGTATCTTTATTTTCTTATAATACATTTTTCAACTGATATCGAGGCATAAGAACTTTCTGTTTGAGTTCTATTCCATTCAGGATGTGTGAAGCCGTCTAGTACTTTAATAAAGAGTACAGCTATCGATACTCAACGGTTAGTTAGTGTTTTCTTTCGGTGGGTGTAACAGTTTGCGTCATGTACAACTTATGATTGAGATCAATAAACTTTTTCTTTGATATGTTAACGTGTCTTTTAGGAGTTGATAAATTGCATTGTTGGTAATGGTAACATTGTTATGAAACTTTTAACATAGATAATAAATAAAGATTCTATCACAACCGTTAAACAATAGAAATTATTGAAGACCATAAAGAGTAGCCGTTTGCTGCTTGCAAACTGATATAAATATATATATTTATATAAATATTGTACTATTTTTAGCTTAAATGATTAAGCACATTTTTTTGTTTAATTACACTATTAAGTCTATTTTTGTAAGTGTATAATTCTCATGTACTTTTAGTTTTATTTGCTGTGATAACGAAAAGTTTAATTGCCTGCAATTTCATTACAAATTACAATAAAAATAAAAATCTGAACTGCCATTTATGTCTTATCAGTTCGTTGGTTTCGTTGTTTTTGACTTTAGATAAAATCGTGTTACCCCTTTTCACAATATTTTTACAATTATAGATAAATTTCTTTAGCACCGATAAGCCTCAACGTCATTTCGTTCATTAAGATAAAAACATTATGAGCAAAAATTATTGAATGGAATATTTCTTACTTAAATTAGCTGAAGTAATAAATTCTTAGACTGCAGACTGTCACGGACTCAAATAAAATAATTAGAGATAATTTTTAATGCTATAAGCAAAACATTAGAAAAATTCGAGAAAATAATCCATTTTATTAGTTTGTCTTAAATTTGTTTTATTAAATGTTTATTTATAATTTACGTTTAATGCCTAAAAACTTTAACACAAAGTTTTTTAGATGCAAATAAATTAAATTTTACATACAATAAAATTCTTATGGTAACAATAACGGCTTTGACTTGTACACAGTACAATAAACTTATCTGTTTCGAACACAATGAGTATGAAACTTTCCAGTGACTATCAAATATTTCTATTGCTTTAAATTCGTTTTTGTTAAAATCTCGGGCATCTCTTCGACATTTGTCAGCTCGTATTTCATAAAGTATTGCAAGATGGGCGAGAGTAGCTTGGGATTGAATTTCTCATCCTTTTCTGGTGGTATTATGTAGCTCAATGGTATGCCTACCACAAAAAGTATTATAGCACCAACCACTACGTACCAATTGAACGAAAGATCGAATATGTTAAAGCCTTCTGAAGCATTTGTGCCATGTTGAGTGGAGTGAAGTAAAGTGGAGGTGGTTGAAGCACTAAAAACAATTCCAAATATGAAATAATTTAATAAAGTATTTTTCTTTATTAACTAACACAAGATATATAAGATTAAGATGTATATAACATATTTTATTGTTTCAATTATGAACATTTTTTACTTATTATTATTATTTTTGAAACGGGCTAATTGGTCAATTATTCAAATAATACACTTTTTAAATTTTTCCCATTTTTATAATTATGAAAATAAAAAATGATTTTTAGAAATAATTGAAATGTGTATTAATTGAAGGATTGAACAATTAGCCCATTAAAAAAATAAAAATAATAAGTATAAACAATATATAACATTGAACATCAGTATATTTTTATATCGCATATAAAAAATATATATAAATAAATAAATATTAAAGTCGATTTTAACGTTAATATGACAGTAGTGAACTACAAGAACAAAAATTATTTTTATGTTATATATATATAATTCTATATATTATATACATTAGCGAGGCGTCAGCTTTTTGGCAAGGTGTTCACAATTTGATCAAAACAGAATTCCAACTATAACGTATTCCCCCTACTCTTGAGTTTTGTCCTTTCCACAAGCAAATAGCGTACAAGACCAACAAAACAATTTATTTAAATGTTCGCAGCCTGTGATCCACTGGTTTTTTTGGTAAATAGCTGTAGGAAAACGGCGACTTACCACAGATTTCGACATTTTTACATCGGGTACCAAATTCTTCATATCTGGAGTTGGTCTATTCATTTTATGAATTAAAACCTTTTTTTCAGAAGATCGTTTAAAAAAAGATATTTGAATCAAATCTTTAATTACCCATTTATCCATTTCTAAATATAATTTTTCACTTCAAATTTCTTTAATTTTTTTTTTTACTTTTACCATTTGTTAATATAAAATTGCAATAATGACTTTGTTTTTGATTTATTTCCAACCTCTACATAAGAGTAAGAAACTCTCATGCATTCATTTACTCTTTTACTTTGTATTTACTATGCGCGGTTCAGTTTTTTTACTGAACCTTTTGCCCATATAAAACGGCAACCGTCACTCTGATTGTATTTGCACGGTTTGTATGAACTTGAGGTTCAGTTAAGTCGACTGAACCTCTAGTCAAATGTAAAGCGATTTTCGCTCAGTCATTTCTTTTCTGTTTTGTATTTACTTTGCATAACATTGGAGGTTCATTTTTTTTATCGAACCGCTTGCACGCATTAATTTAAGAGTTATGATTATTTTACGTACATATTTTGCGGGGCTCTTCTCTTTTATTTTTATACTTGTTTGTACGTTTTGTGTTCATTCAATATTGAACATAGTCCCAATGTGAATGTTTCATTTGCATGCTTTGTAAGCAGCGCAGTGCAGTTTTTATTCTGAACCTGAACTATTTTAAGAGGAATGTGTTTTCTCTGAATTCTGAACTATTTTAAGAGGAGTGTGTTTTCTCTTTTATTAATTATATGTAATGTTGGGTGTAACTAACATATGTATGTGTGATTTTGTTTGTATTATACGTTTTGTGGAAAAGCTATTATAAAAAATGTTAAGTAGCATAATAGCGAGATTATTTACTTAATAAAAAATAGGTCTAAAAAGGAAGCTTTGTTAAGGTGTTCAGTGAACACTCTGAACCATTCGACGCCTCGCCTCTAATTATATATATATATATATTTATATATATATTTATAAAATTCTATAGATAATATACTCGCAATACTAGAAACAGCTGTATAGCTAGCCATAAATTAATTAAAATAATGTAAAAAGAATTTCTGTTGTTGCAGGTCACTACTTTTCGAAACCTCTCTAATAAATAAATTATAAAAATATACATATAAATATTTATAATAATAATAATAATAATAATAATAATAATAATAATAAATAAATAATAAGAATGTTTGCATATATATATGTATATATATATAAAGTATGTATAATATAAAATATTGAAATATTAACATTGTATTAATAGTAAATAGCTTACATTGTCTTATTCAATTCTTCGCAACCATCAAGTGTTAGGGGTAACGTTTTGTAATGTATGCGACCTTGTGCACCCAAAATTATAACTAACATTGCCAACATACTAGCCACAACAGACCAGAAGGCAGCCTATAAATTACATTCGTTATTCATTTAATATATATGTATTATATAAAATTATAACAAGTTTGTAATGTCGCGAATAAAATTAGTTTTACTTACTCTGCCATGTGCTCTAGGCACCAACATTCCCAACATAAATACACCAAAAACTGAACCAAAAGTAACACCTCCAATAGAATAAACCATTTGTAATATGGAAGAGAACTTCTCGACAACAGCTCCACCAAGTATACAATATATTCCAGTTACGAAGACAAATACTTTCATGATAAGATTTGCACGACTCTCTGTGTGTCTAATATATGGTTTGATGTAATCAAAGTAGACTATACCAGATAAGGAATTTAAACTGGCCGACATTGTACTCAGAGCAGCACTAAAAACACACGATATAAATACACCAGGCATACCTTTTAAATGGCCTACAATATCTTGTACAAAGTACGGCATTAGTTTATCAGTTTTTTGAACAAATCCTGCCTGAATTGGGTCACAGTCATGATAACGTGAATACATCGCAATGCCAGTGTAAGTGTTAAATCCAAGTATGAGGATAAAACCAAAACCAAAAATTACAAGCGATCTGAAAATTACAAAGAAACAAAAAATAAAAACAGTCAATAGCATTGAACAAACGGAATAAAATAAAATTAGAAAATAGTGTCACCTAACAGCACTAAAATTATCTAAAAGACATGAAAACTAGAAAAGAGAACATGACATTAAAGGAAATTGCTAGCTAACATAATTTCATGAAATAAATAATGTGTTATTTAATCGATTAATACTTGATAGATATGAATAATACAAGCAGCATTTTCGGTGTTGATCTATCGATTGTATTATTATATTTTTGATCATTTTAAAATATTTTCTCATTTTTGTTTTGTAATTCCTAAAACAAAGTACATAATAGGTTAAGTCTTACATTTTGTATTTTTTGTATCTTTTTACTGTCTTGGTTTACGTAACTTAAAAAATTCTTCATAATATTTCTAACGTTCTTGATGTCCAGAGATAAGCACGTTGTTATTATAGCCTTCAATTTTTTTATTTGCGGTTTATTTTGGCAGATGGGGTTTACAAATCGATATCTAAACGATATTTAATTTGCTTTAATACAAAATAACATGGTGTGAAGTTATGATATCTATATTTCATATATATACACACACAAACACATATATATCATTGTGATTTGTAATCATTGAGATTTGTATAATATAATTACTAAACGAAATTATATTATATTTATAAAAGAATATTAAAGAATATAGATAGAATAGTGACTATCATATAGGCAACAGTGATATTACAATTCAAGCAGATGCCACTTTATATAATCCAGAATCCAAATAGAATCCAGAAAATAAGCATGAAATAAGGACGTGACACGAATCTCTTGGAATGGTAATATCTATATTGTCCAAATATTGGCTATTATAACAGATGAAAGACGACGTCAAAAAAGACAAACAAAAATACAACAGAAAGCTATCATAGAGAACTACTTGTAAATCCATTTTATTCATTATATTTCATGGTGTAAATATTGTAAACAAATATATAAATTTCAGATTAGATAAAATCCAATTCAAATTAATTGTTTATATTAAATTTTAGATCAGATTTTTAGATTATATCTTAATTGTAGGTATTTATTAAATATGCTAGAATCAATAGGCATTAAATGGACTTACCTTTTAGCATGACCCAATGAGGGCAAGGACACTATACGCTGTACACAACTTTGATTCAGGCCAACATATGAAGCCCACATTAGTGTTCCACTTATAAAACAGTTCCATAGTGTAGAGCGAGTTGTTAAATCGAATGCTAAACTAATAAAAGTTAATATACATACATAATGTATTATAAATGTTTATTATTAAATTGAATCTTAAACATAAACAAAAATAATTTCTTATCATGTTGTTTTAAAACAAATAGTTATTTTTAATAGTTTAAGTTAATGCTTAGTAAACTCACTTGATATTTAAGCGGCCACCGGCTTTAGCGATATGGTAAACTTCTCCAATTCCTCCTATTTTTACTGTAGCCAATATTCCAACTAATACCACAGATGTGACCATTATAAATGCTTGTACAACATCTGTCCAAACAACCGCTTTGATTCCGCCCTAGAAATAAAATCACTGTTGATACTACAGATTTCTTATACTAACCTCTAGTATGTACTTACAAACATAGTATAAAATACACATATTGAACAGACGATTGTATTTATGAGATGTATATTTATGCCAGTAACTAAAAATATATAAATAATTCACAATTGTATTTATACGTAATATATAGTAATTGCAATAAAAAATAGTTCTTATCTTAGGGGATAAAGTCAATAAAAAGTCAATAGGTTCCATTTATTGAATTATTATTATTGAATTATGTACTGTTAAATATAACTTTTTAAAAACATTACAAAAATCAAATGAATATTTTTTTTCTGAAATCCTTTTCTAGGAATTCAAATATCTTTCATTAGAATTTGGTGGTCCATAAGTTTGCATGGTTTTTGCTCATTGATACTTTTAAGTAGACTATTGAACTATAATTATGTTTAGCTATACTTAATTTTTCCGATATTGCTGATTTGAGTTGAATAATCCTTCTTAGTGTAAGAAAATTGTGTTGAGAACATGATTAACCTGCTGGGACTATGTTGCTTATCTTAAGAAGAAATGATATGTTCAAGAAATTTATAACTTAAAGCAAATGCTAATACAGAATGCTGCTTCATATCTTCATAAAATGGTTAAATAAGGAGATTAGAGTTTGGCAGATTAAATAAAGCTTGAGAGTACTTATTAAAATCCCTGCTAAATATTTTTATTACGTGTTATTTACTTTAATAGCATAGGTATTATTTATATTACGATAGTATTATATGTAATAATAATATATGTTAGCAAATAATGGCTTGCACTTTAAGGTATTGTCAAAATTTAAAGGTGTACCGAAAGTATGTCATAGCAATCACACTTGTTAGTGGGATAGATCACAAACAAAAAATGAATAATTCTCTAATTATTGATCAAATCTATGAAACTCAAGTCTTCATTAACGGTCTAAAAACACCACATTTCTTGATGTCGAAATTCGATTACATACAATGGAAACTATAATAACAAGCGATATATCTGAAAGTTGTCTTAAGTCCTAAACTACCATAAGTAGGAAAAAAAATAAAGCTAAAACAATTTGAGAGATTTTCTAATTTCTACAGTAGCACATGATCTGAATTCTCACGTTAGCACGTGTATTATTCGGATGTTATAAATCTTATGCCTCTATGTGACAACCTAGTATGGTTAATCGTAAACAGGCGACAGAGATACAACAAATGACTTTAAGCAATGACTTCTTCGTAGGCTTCGCATTGAGGTAGTTAAGCTTAACATTATCTGTAAATGGTCCAAAGTTGGCATGGAATATTTTCTAATACTAAGCTATGCTTCCAATATTCGTCGCAATAATTACTAACACCTTTTATATCTATTCTACTTAATCATAATCTCTCATATCCAAGAGAAGATTGGATTGAAGATATCGTAGTTCCACATTCGGAATTACAGTGGGTGCTTCACTACATGTGCTCTTGCAGTTATGTACATGTGTACTAGATTTGCACGTTCTTATAATATTTATTTGAGCCATTTTTGGGTTATGGATATGGAAACATATAGTTGAAAATAAGACTTCTGTCTTTTTCTTTTATAGTAACACATAATTTTTATGTAAAATACTCGATTCTCTTCTAAGAATTAATCGTTTATTTTAAAATGTGTTTAGATTATTTTATCATTAAAACTATATATATCAAGGTTATATGTACATATTTCCCATTTTTTTTTTCATTTTTTTAGTGGAGGTAACTTTTTCTTGTTTTCTATTATCTTTCTTATGTCCAGCTCACTGGTGGTTTGGTTGTTATTTATTTTTAATTGTATTTCTTTCTTTATTTACTTGTAAAATTTTTACTAATTACAATAACATTTACAGTGTTTGTCTTAAATACTTTTATAATACTAAGTATTTATTTATAAAATTTAGCTAGTTATCGTTCAATAAAGTTTGTATGAAACTATTTTGATAGATATATAGATTTTAGAACAGTTCAGAACTATGTCCCCACGTCACTGCATCCTTTGAGGATTATTGTGCCAAACTCACTTTAGTTCCATAAGCGTGTAGCAGTTAAAAATGACATTATGTTCCTTGGAGAGATGTGGCTTTTGATCGATTCGGCATGAATTCTTCAGCTTCTCTGCAGGCAATTACATTATCTCAATCAGTCTGAGCTTTTTTTCCAGCAATTCATTAGTTCTAATTTTGAAAAAGCTCCATGAAGGACCGCAAATTGATTTTAGCTCAATATAATATGAGACCGCCCCTTTTCTGGCTAGTTCATTAGCTTTCTAATTTATCTCAAATCCGCTGTATTCTGGGATCTATATTAAATGGACCTAGTTCCTATTAGAAAGATCTTTAAAAAGTTGAAGGTATTCCCACACTAGTTTTGAGGTCAATCGAGGTGAGCGAAGTGCTAGGAGTGCTGATTTGCTGACAGAGAAAATATATATGTTTTTCCCTGTGGTGGGTTTCATTTTACTTTAGTTTGTTTTGATAATTAGCTTATTTATATATTTAATACATTTACGCGCAACATTCACTTATATATAAAATACTTTACCTTTTTTACAAATATTAAATTTGTTTAAACCATTTAATTTATGGGTGAAGTACGGTCATTATTCACAAATTTTTTTTCGTTTCTTTATTTCGCCATTCACCGTTTTACTTATCAGCTTTAGCTATTATTAAAATCATTAGAGGTGATCGTCAGATCGCCAGAACTGAGTTATCTGACCTCCCTTTAGCTGCTGTTAAAACCGTCAGTGACGAGTTATCTGACATCTGATAAAGCTATTAAATAATTCACTAATTAATGTCGAAGGCATGAGCCACTGGTAAAACTACTTAAGACTATGAAAGTCCAAAGCCCAAGTTCAAACGTTGATAAGTCGCCTGCCAGTTAGAAAAAAAGCAAATGTAAATCTCTGTACGCTTTTTTGCTACAATTTTTATTTAGTGTTGTCTTATGTGACATCGGGTTTTCCTGTTTTTATTAAAGCACTTGCCTTAGTATACTTTCCAGCGCATCATGAACTCATGCTCGCCAATATTGTGCATGTGCTTTTTTCTCCTATTTCCATTTAGCTGGTAATTGTCGCAACATTTAATCTGTAAATTTTTCCATTGTTATTCTGGTACAGCTTTTTTTTAAACTTTCATTATCGAAGCCAACCACGTATTATCTTTCTCTATTTCTCGTAAATAAACTCTGCATTTCTCTATGTTTAATAACAAAACAAAAGCATGCATTTATTTATGTGTATCAGCCAAACACGGGTCTTTGCTATCAGCTAAACGTCAAGCTCTCATCAATCTTTAGTCAAAGCTCGCATCTTGATATTCAGCCATTCTGCAATTTTCGTCCGTTCTATTACTGATAAGCGAGTATTCTTGTTTGCCTCTTACTTAAATCAACAATAACAAAAGCCAAATTTTATTGCCTATATTTATTGTTTTGTTTATTAAGTTGCTTGGGCTGTAGCTGTTTTAATTGTATAGTGCGTGGCTTAATGTAACCCTAACTTAACAAACATTTGAATTCCTAAACGACTAGTTAAAATAACCGTAATTTTTTCTTTCAGAGTAGCAAAAAAATACTCGCATCTTACGAAAGAAAACAGGTAATTCAACCACAATCCTTCAGAGTTCAGAGTTGGGTTTTACTTGCAAAAATGTTTAAGCTTAAGTGCAGCCAAATTCAAAAATCAGTCTATTGTGAATGTTCACTGGAAATAATTGCACTGAAAAAAATCCAGTCATCCCTTAAAATCATATGAGCATTTCATTTACTAATAAATTCAAATATATAAATTGATAATTTAATTTAAATAAATAAGATAAAAATGCTAAAGCTATTTCGCATCTAATATTCATTTTGTTTTCTGTTATTTAAATTAATTTATTTTTAGTGCTTATAATTTTTATATTTCATATTGGACACAATCCAACAGAAAATATGCATTTGAAATATTTTGAAAGTGATGCCAATTTACTTCAACCAGACTTAATGCTGTTTTTTACATCTCTGAAAAAAAAATTACGGCTAATACAAGTATATTTCTTCTAACATATCTGAAGTACCTGAATGCAATACTCTAATCATATTCTATGGTAAACCCGATAACAGCTGTATTAACAATTTAATATTTTCAACAGAATAGCAAAAAAATCTTCATAAACCGAGAGAAGTAATCAGCGATGTTTTTGCAATCAAAGATGTTAATAACGAATGATTATCCATCACATGCACACTTCACTGAGTTAAAACCTCCTTATGTTTAGCGTAACGATAAAGCAATAGTTGACCTTCAGAAGTTGAAGACCCTCAACGTTGTCCACATAAATTAAATATAGTAGCACGCTTAACACTGCCTGGGTTTTATTGAAATGCATTTGCTTAACTACATTTTTGTCATTTCTAGCGACCATAGAGCAAGCAATTGTTGTTTAATCATGCATTTTGGTATTACTTCCACTTCTTCCTTATTTAGATTTTTGATATACATTATTAGATATTTTATTTTTGATCCTGTTTGAATATAGTATTTTGCGCTAGCCATTAAAAATGATTAGATTTTGTTTTTTGATTCAGTGTATTAAAACTACAAAATGGATTATGTTATAATTACTGATAAGAAATAGAAATAATTTGTATCGTTTATCAAACAATTCATCGAATTAATAATTATATGACACTTAATTATAATAAGTACTAATGGTATATATACCCATAATAATGGCAATGTAACTAACGAGCACTGAAACCCCTACTTTGGTTACTGACAATAATAAAATACACTATAATTAAAATCATGTGTTATAATTAATTAAATGAATAATTTCCTACATTTATTTCTTTTATAATAATTGTTAGAGTTACATATCTATCATCTGACAATTATTAATAAATTATATATAACAAATATAGAAACTAAAAATCTTGATATAATCTTGGTAGAATGCAACATATTTATGGGATTAATATTCATATTAATAATTAAATTAATAATATTATATAAAGCTAGCTAATGTAGTTTAATGTACTCGTAATATTATATAAAGAAGATTAACATGTTATATGTACTGTATTATATATTGAAGCAACATGTGTTGATATCAGATAAAATTTAAAATCGTATATCTATATTATTCATAAAATAAATCACGGCCCACTAGTATATAATCAAATGAAATCTTTGGTGAAAAATAATGTTCACCAATTGTCTATACAATTATAATTTGTATATGTAGAAGCACTAACATTTAATGCCAGTGTATTTTTCTTGCTCGTTAAGGCTTATTAATCATGTTGTAAAATTTTTTCATGGATAGGTTCTCGAGATATGAGGGTTTGAAATATTTTTTCATTTTTTTCAAATGTAACTTTTATGTTGCACAATATCTCGAATTGCTAACGTCCGATAAGGTACAATAAGATATTAATTTAATTTGTAATAATAGCTTCTAATACTGTTTTTCAATTTTTAATTAAATTAATTAAATTTAACCAATTTTCATCTATCTCTAAAATATATAAATTGAGTTAATATCCAATATGTGATGCTCCTTGTATGTCTGAAAAAAAATTTTATTACCTCAAATCTCGAAAACCTGTCCATAGACAGACAAATCCATTTTTAATGCGATTTTCGAAAACCTATCCATAAACAGTTTTTTTAATGTAGTTTTTCGAAAACCTATCTATAAAAAGTTTTCTTAATGTAATTTTTGAGTTAAGTGAAGCAAAACACATGGGAAAAATACAATGACATTATGTATATGTTAGCTGTAAACTAGTGTAATTAATTCTGTGCCAAAGAATAAATGATAAAAATAAATATGTTATCATATTTTACCTTGTGAAAATGCAAGTGCTGGTATAAAAATAAAAACTGGTAACATAAGGAACAATGTAACTATAAAGGCCATTGTTTGAATTTGGCGCGTCTTGCGGTTAAATCTTATTTCCAGATACTGTTTAAATTGAATTATGTGAATTAAATTAATATTGTGATTATATATCTTTTATTACACACCTCATAACAGTTCGATATATTATTATTATAAAAAACTGGTATAACAACATAACACAGGATTGGCACAACTATTAACATTGAGATCACGTTAAAACACCAATTTATGCCAAATGAATACATTTCTGAAGGTATCGTCATGATGGATATACCGGAAAGTTGACTGTAAAAAGGTTTTTAATATTTTTAAATTTGTTATTTATTATTTTATGTATTAAAAACAACATTTAGATCAGTGTTATACGATAATTTTTATACACTTTTTTTAGCACAAACCTTGCCACAAGTGATATAGCAATAGGTATGGTTTTCATGCGTTTCCCACCCATTAGATATTCATCGGTTGTATCAGCACCTTTGGCAAAGAAACCGAAATAAACACCAATGCCAAATGAGATCAATAACATAAACACAAAGACCGTATAATCGGTAGCATTAAATGTGAACTGAGAAATTCCATTATTCACGATTTCAGCGGTTTCATTAAGTAATTCCATTTTGAACTATTTATCTTTCACTATTCAAAGGATTTCAAATTTTTTTGTTTTAGAATTTTCACTTTTCCTTAATTTTTTTAATTTTTAATCACACATTTTCACGCTAAGCACAATCTGCAAATGAATAATTTTGCAATAAAGATCTGTTTTAAATTTATAAGAAATTTAGATATAATATTCTTTTATCAGCAATGATTTGCTTAAATATATCGCAATCATTTTTAACAAAGTATAATAATTATTGAGGTCTATTAAAAGAGATTTCTTACTTATCTTTATAACAATTATATAAATTGTTTCATTTGTCTATGTATAATAATTAAAATATTATTGTTGATAATGACTAAGGTTGATTTGATATAAAGTCGCGTGTTACAGCGATTTTAAATGAAGAAACTAATAGTGAGACGTATTCAAAATTTTAAAGTACATAAGGCTTCTAATAAACATTATCTAAACGTTGTTTAAACATGATAGACGTTAAAAGATATTATATATATATAGTTATCTAAATTAGTATAAATTAAAAGGGACGATGATTAACAAAATATATAAAGAATACGTAATTGGTACACATATAGAAATCTACTTTAAGATATTATTTATAAATATACATATATACATACGTATTTCATTGTTTAATAATTTTATTCACAAATCATTTACAAGATAAACGCAGTAAATTTGTTTACAATTGGAATATACCTACCTATGACAGCACTATCTAATTTCCATTGAACTTCGTATATATTATATGTACTTATAAAGTAATTGCCTAATTTCGAACTTAATTTCTATAAGGTAGGTCATTTTTTCGTATAATAAACTTACTGCAAGTGTTAACAGGTGTACCCAGTGTTAGACGATATTTTGCGGAGTCGTTTAACATCCTCGGGCACATTCAAAATATTAACATTTTTATGCATGCTCCGGTTCTTCATTAATCGGAGTGCTTCAGTACTAACCACAACGGTCAAGATTATTCCTTTGTATAATTTTAATATTTAAATGATTAGCTGTGCCTCACAACTGAATTTAATAGGCTACACCGATTTTAGTA